GGAAGAGATACTGAGAGCGTGTGTGTGTTTGTGTGCGAGGGGGGAGCGCGCGCTCCAGCGCAGGCAGCAGCCAGTGTGCGCATGCGCGCAGGCGAATGCAGCTGAGCCTCCGGCACACACACGGACACGTGCAGAGACACACACGCACACTCACCCCGCATGCGCAGAGCCCCGGGCTCGTCCCGTTCCAGCAGATATTCACAGCCTTCCTCGGCCCACACATGCACAAAACACGCACACATGGACGCGCACACAACACACCCACTCGCTGATGTGTACACAAAACTGATAGCCACCGGGGCCTCCGGGCCCCGGCGCCCCTCCCCAGCCCCCGCGCCCGGGTAAAAGAGAAAATGAAACAGGCAGCGAAGGCTCTGGAGCAGAAAGAGCTCCTCTCTTCCCTAAGAGGCACGGGAGGTGGGCTGGCGACTTGGTCCAATCACACTGCTGGCTGCGTGTGTGTGTGTGTGTGTGTGTGTGTGTGTGTGTGTGTGCTGTGGCACTAACCTTCCAGTCCAGTCCCTGGTCCCCAGATTAGGTGTCCACACCGCCAAGGCAGGGGACCGTGCATAGCATAGCATTTCCTAGGCCCCAGTAAGTTCCATCTCGCTGCCTTTGTCTAGCCAGAGAACTTCTGACCCCTCCCTCTGGCCCACCTCACACAATGGCATATAAGAGGGAGGTCCCTTTTGGTACCCCCGCCTGGGTCTGCCAGGGGGGAGGGCGGGCAACACCATATGCCTGAAAACCATATGCCCCCGGCCACACACCAGCCCCAGATGCTTCCGTGAGAGACAGGGCTGTTTCTCTGGTTCCAGGGCACGCATATTCCCGGTGCCCAGACAGCCAGGCCCCAGGAGGAGAGGAGACTCCATAGGCGGTGCTCACCAGGCTGGAGGGAAGCAGCGCGGAGAGAGCACAGGTGTCATTCCTGCCTTATGTTACCTCGCTCTCCATGAGGTAGGCATCCTTGTCTCCAGATGATGAAAACCCAAGTCCAAAGGCAACAATTGGTGAATGGCAAAAACTCAGCCTCCCAACTTCCAGCTGGTGGTCTTTCCACCACGGGCCTGCTGGCTCCCCCCTCAACTCCCCTCAGAGGCACAAAAGACACCCCCCCCCCAGCACTTCTGCAGCCCTGAGAATTAGAGGTAAGTTAGGCACATACACACACACCCCCAGCTTACCCCTTGCCCTTGCTGCACCTTGAAGGAACTAAATAAAAGGGATCTGGGGGAGACAGGGGTCTTATCATTAGACTCAAGGAGGGAATGCGACAACCCAGGACAGACACTGGATCTCAAGGTGCCACACCTACCACCCTGGGCCTTGCTGGGTGCCACTTCACACTAATGGCCCCTCCATGCAGGGGTAGGGAGTCTGGTGTCCTGCAGCCAGGGCTGGGGCCTAGGGATTGGGGCGAGGGTGTACTTTCCTTGGTATTTCTCTCCTCCACCCCCAGGGCTCAGACTTATCCCAACACAGGTGCAGTGATGCCCAAACACTGATGCATGTACCCCTCTCTGGGGAGGGATATCCTAAGCCCAGATGCCAAGGACTCCTTTTTAAGAAGCAGCTAGAAGGTGAGGGTCAGAGGGGGGCAGGGCAGAGGTGCTCCAGGTGGCAAAAACTTGTAGAGGGGGAGAGAGAAAGAGGTGACATGAAGGCAAGGAGGCTGGAAATGAGGGGCCCACTAACCTCCCATCCTCCAGTCCCCCACCTAGTCCCATTCCTGGGATGTCTAGGAGACTAAATTCTCCAAGAAGCTCTTCAGAGAAATCCAGGGGACCCCAGCCCCCCAGGCTCCCTCAGTCACAGCTTACACACAAGTGCTTTGATACACCTGCTGCTTTTTAAAGCATTTTATAAGTTCTAACTCCTTTAATCCTCAAAAAGCTGAATGGGGCAGATATTATCATCCCCAATTTACAAATAAGGCAAGGGAGAGGTTAAATTGGTTAAATCACATGCCCAAGGTTATACAACCAGCAAGTGGCAGAGCAGGGATTCAAACCCAGGCAGTCTAGCTCCTAAAAATATCCCTGCTCTTAACCTTTACCTGCTAGAGAAATGGTGCCTCTATATTCGTTTCCTGCAACTAAGCCTCAGTTTCCCTCTCTGTAGCAGGCCACAGATTCTCCATGGAAGGGTCACTTCCGGTGCCTCCTCATTCGAATAGATCAGGGCTAGGGGGGAGCATGCTCAGAAATTCTTGGTGCCTGCTGTCCCAGTGGCCTCTGTTCAAATCTTCCCCTCTGGTAGAGTTGTTGGATCTGCCACTGCAGGCTGGAGCCTGAGCTCACGGGAGAGGATATAGTCAGGGCAGCTGTACCCTCAGAGCCTAGCAAAGAGGGCACAGCTGTTGGGCATCTCTGAGGTGGGCCTCAGCTGCCAGGGGTATGGAGAAAGGCCACTATGAGTCCTGCCACAGACCCAGCTCAGCTAGTCCTGCCCACTCCCGCCACTGGCTGCGGGGGTGATTATTTTCCAGCAGGTCAATGTGGTGGGGAGCTCCTCACTGGTTTGTTTAGGCACTAGCCAGCTGCAGCCTGCACACCCAGGGCCGCCGCAGAGGTGGTGTCCGGGCTGAGTCTGCCAGCCTGAGAGGTCAGCAGGGGCAGCAGCTGACCCCCACCCCTCCTGACCAATCCCAGCCCCCAAAACTTGCTGGCCGCAACTGCAGCTCTGAGGAAGCTCAGGATGTCCTGAACAGCCAGCTGAGCCCCCCGCCCCCCACTCCAACCTCTCGTTGACCCCAGAGGCAGGGCGGGCAGGCCAAGGGGCGGAGCTGGAGTATTAACAACTGGAAAAGTATGAAGAACATCACTGCCAGTTCCCAGCTCTGAGAAAGGAGGCTGGGGCAGAAACAGAGACAAGAACAGGGGTAGACAGGGGCAGCGACAGGGTGAGAGAGACTGGCAGAGAGACAAGGAGAGGGAGAGCAGAAACAGCAAGACAGCAACAGAGAGACAGAGGAATTCCAAGTCAAAAATACACATCACTCACCCAGACACTCACCAGCATAAGGCCCCCTAAGGAAGGCATCCAAGTTTAGACAGGAGGGCAGAGGTGGGAAAAGAAGCCAGGCTCTAGAGCTCAGCTGGCGGTGAGTGAGGGGCCCCAGAAAAGGCTCAGGCCAATGACCCTCAGCAGGGCAGCTAGTCCCCCATCTCTGCCTGATTTTGAGGTAGGGATAGGGGCCATTCCCCAGGAGCCAGCTCTCCCCAAGACCCTCCCTCTTCCTCGCAGCAGCCAGGATAATCCCAGCCACTAGAAGCCACTGGACACTGCTTCAGGCCCCTGACTCGGCCCTCTGCAACCCCCTTGTCCCGCTCTCTTAGCTCTAATTTCTCTGACCCTCCAAACAATTAAAAACCAAAAAACACCCTGAGCCTAGAGGAAGACAGCATGAAGCTGGAGGGGGACCCCTCTGCACAGCACATACATCTCCTCGGGCTGTGCCTGACTGCCTGGCTAGTGGGGGTACCTGGCCAACTAGTTGTTGGCGCAGACCTGTGACCGCATGGACCTGAGCCTCTCGAAGGCCTTCTGCACCGGGTCCCCGGTCGTGGCAGATGAGTGATGTGCACCTGTCTGGAGTGCCCATAGTCAATCAATTCACATGTCATTACAGAGGACCTGTGCTAGGCTCTGGATAGGTCGAGAGCTCTTCCAGGGATCCTCCCAGGTCCACAGGAGGCATCGAGTGGGGTGGGATGACCAGCCATATCGATGGACACTCTCATGGGGCCCGTCTGCCTTGCACCATTATGCCAGGGAGCAGGGGTTTTGTTGTACGCAGCACCCCAGAGCGCCACAGGAGTCTAGGAAAATACTTGTTGCTGACTTCCACATCCACACGTTGATGTGTAACTGCGTGTACCTTTGTCGGGGGGAGGGTGACTGTCGCGGCAGGCGGTGATGGCCATGGGACTGGGCTCATGCGAGCACGTGTGTGCCTGAGTGACAGGGTCTTTTGTAATGTGCGGCTGTGTGCAACCGCTCTGTGTTCATGCATGCGTGTGATAGTGACTTTTTCTGTGTGGGTGATGACGACTCCTCCTTGCCCCTGTGTGTGACAGCTTCTCCGTGTGACCCTGTGCGTGGGTATGTGCATGGGTCGGTCTCCCTGCTCCTGGTCTCCCGTGGGTGTGTCCCGCCCCTCTGAGCTCCCCAGTGCAGCCTCTGCCTGCCTTTTCCCTTGTCCCCATGTGGGTGTGTCCGGCAGCTCCTGTCCTTGAGTCTGCTGGGTGTCCCCGGGAGTGCATGTGGCTGTCTGTGCGGGCATATCTCTGTCTGCATGTCACATATGCTTCCCCCCTCAGCTTGGACAACAGCCCCCTGCATCCCTTCCCCCTCCTGGGGCCAGAGCCAGCATTGAGGGGCTGACTCCCACCCCTCAGGCTTTCCTTCTGCGACCTCCACCCCTGGAAAGGGTGGCTCTCCCTCCATTACCCCTACCTCCCCCCCTTTTCTTCCACACCGGACAAGGGAGGGCCCCCGGCAGGGAAGGGGCACCAGAGACACGTTGCAAGGGGAGGAAAAACAAGGGAGGGGGACGCACAACACAGGGCCATTTCTCCACTTCCCCAACCACCCTGGCTCGCAGCTGTCCTAATGATCCAGGGACCCTCAAATACACTCTCCCCCATACCGCACACGCTCCCCCCCCACCGCCAGCCGCGTTTTTGCAATTAGGAGTGTTGCAACCGGAGAGCCATGCTCAAATGGGGAGGCGGGTGAATTGCTGGGGGGGACTTCCCTTGCTCGGGGCCCGCGCAAGCCCACCCTACGCCCCACTCATGCTGCCCTTCGCGGGTAAAGGCTGCTTTGCAAAGGCCACTCGGCCTTGGCCTCCGAGGCTAGGGGTGGGGGCTGGGGGGGCAGGCCTCCGGCGCACCGTAAACAAACCGCGGCGCGGCGGGCGGGGGAGCTCCCGCCGCCGACAGCGGGGCCGGGTCGGGGAATGCGCAGCAGACGGGCCGGACAGAGGCCGGGCGGGCCCTCGAGGGGGAGGCCTGGACGCCATCTCAGCCGGCGAACCCCGGGGCCCACCGACCTCCCGGCAACACCTCCCTTCCCCAGGGCGTAAGTTGCAAGCTCCCGGGCTGTGACAGGGTCACCGGGGCGCCGGGAGAGGCTGAGGCTGCCCGCGGGCACCCCCCGGGCGCCCCCAGCCCGCTTGGGAGCCGGCCAGAGAGCACCGCGGCTTTGCATAATCAATCGCGAGACATTTGCATATTAATACCCCCGCGCTCCCTCCCCCTTACCTCGGCGTGGCGCGCTGGACCGGGCTGGGCAGCGACGCGGGGTCTCAGCGCCCCGAGCCGGGGGCGTCCATGGGGGGCCGGTGGGGCCCGGGCCGCCCGCCTCCTGCGCCCGGGTGTGAGTGCGAGTGAGCGCGGGGGGGCGGGGGGCGAGTGTGGCGGCCCCGCGGCTCCTCCGGCAGAGGCGGCGGCCGCTCTTGGCTCCTCCCTCCCCCGCCCCGCTCCGGCTGGGGCTCGAGCTCGGCGCGCCCGGCCGGCTCGCGGCTGCTCCCTGCAGGCCGCCTCGCCGCCGCCGGCCCCCGCCCCGCGCCCCCGCCCCCGCCCCCCGCCGCGCCCCGGGCCCCGGGCCAGCCGCCCCTCGGCCGCCGCCGCCCGGCCCTGCTCGGACTCGCCCTCCCACTCCGGACATCTCCAGCAGGAGTGGTGCTCGGTGACATATTTTGGAAAAGATGTCATTTAGGAAATAGCCTACGCTTGCTGGAAGAATGGGCGGTTTGGGGGTTTGCACCGTGGGGATGGAGAGGGGAATGTAGACGAGGCGCCTGCACCTTCTACGTGGAGAGAAAGTCTGAATACCTAACCCCAGAGGTTTAGAGTTTGTATCTGAGTTCGGGTCCCTTCTCTGCCAGTAGCTCTCTGTGTGACCTTGAGCAAATCACCACCACTCTCAGGGGCAGAGCTTCCTCAACCTTAAAATGCAGGACTGGCGCATGACCCCTGAGATCCTTTTAACTTCAATCATCCTATGTTTTTTAAAAAGTCCTTTTTTTGGGGGGGGGTTACTTCCCATCACCTTCCTTCCCCTCTCACTTCAAATGTCACCTCCTCCAACATCGGCTCTTTCTATCCACTGTTACCAGTCATTTCCTCAGCAATCTGGTTCCCTGGCTAAGCTTGCCACACCCCCTCTACTCAGCTTCACGGAGGTGGTCTTTCCGCCTGTGTGTACCCCCTCCCCCACCAGAATCCAAATGCTGCCAGGGCCAATCTAAGGCGTAAAGTGGGCTGCACAAAAATAGATCCCCTTCCCCAAAGGAAGGTCTCCATCATGTCAGTACCATCCCCCATGTGCGCGCGCGCGTGCGTGCACACGCACACACACACACACACACCTGCATTCATGGACATAAAACCATTCTAGTGACGCCAGAGCCCCTTTTATCTTGGGATCTCCCAGGCCAGGCAGAGCTCTAATTACCCCATCACCCCCCCTGGCCCCGCCGGTTTCCCCGCTGTCATTAGCTCAGTTTTACCAGCGGGGGCCACAGCCTTCCCACGGCTCCCAGGGCGGGGCCCTATCTCCACTGTCGGCTCTTGGGGAGGGGTGTGTGTGTGTGTGTGTGTGTGTGTGTGTGTTAAGGGAAGCTACTCTATCAATCACCCAGTTTATACTGGGCAGATCACTCGCTTAGTGTGGGGATCTGACCAACAGCCTACCTGAGTTGGGCTGTCCTTGCTCATCTTAGTCTCAGCCACCTGCTTCCTCAGGTCTGTTGGAGTCTCTTCTCTTACTGGGGGTGTGTGTGGGGGGTTTGTAATGTGGGGTGGAGGGGAGGTGCCTTGTGAGTCACCTGGGTGAGAAGGGCAGCTGGTCTGAAACCCAGGGGATGCAGAGTGGAATGGTGGCCATGAGGGGTGTGCAGCGGGCCACAGGAGCCTGCAGTGTGCAGTGGTGGCTGCAGCAGTGGCAGTGCAAGCGGCAGTGTGCCGAGTCAGCATGCAGTAAGCGAACCTGTGGGTTCAGCCTGAGCTGGCAGTGGACATGCAACAGCTGCAGTGTGGGGCCGGAGGCTGCTGCTTCGTGCAGAGCCAGGACAGTGTACAATGCTAGGTGCATTGAGGATGGCTATCTGCCACCTCCCTGGTGATCAGGCTGAAACCCTGGGGAGCAGGGCTGCGGTGTGTATGCGGTGCTCAGGGTATGCGCTCTACTTTGTGTGGAAATAGTCCCTGGGGATAGGGCTGCCCAAGGAGTTGGGAGAGAATCCCAGTGCATGAGACATTAATGAGAAAAGCCACATTTGTACTCTGCACCCTTCAGTGGGCAATGGAGAGGTCTGGCAGTGATCTGGATTAGGGCAGGGCATTGGAGTTGAGAGGGGAGATGAAAGTACTGTGGTTTTCTCTCCCCTCCATTCTGGCTCTCCCTATCACATCTCTGTTGGATGAAAAGCCCTAAAGCTTTGGGCGGGAGGGGGGGGGGCGGGGAAGGAGGATACTTTTTGAAATCCCAGACCCAGAGCCATAGAAATGAAGTGCCTCCAGATCCACCTTTCCTCCAGGGCCAGAGGGGGACACCTTAAGTGCAAAGACAAGACTTCGCCTTTCTCATCTTCTCACCTATCTCCTGCTCCTTGGCTCCCGAAATGGACTGGTAACAGACCCCAGCAAGGGCAAAGTGAAAGGCACACTGTCTCCAAGCAGACATCTCACCAGATCCAGGATCCAGGCCAGGTCCAGGCTTCAAGCCTCTGTCCTGTGTTATGTCACTCCCCATGCACCCCACTACCCTGCCTATCCCCATTTCTCAAAGTTAGCTCTTTTCAGATGCATTTCATGCCCAGTTCCTGTGTTCTCCTCCCCATGAAACCCCCACCCAGGCTGTTTCCTGACAACCCTCTCCTCTCTGCTTCAGGGCTAAGTCCACAGGGACAGCAGGAGGGTGGGGCACAGTGAGGACGGCTAGAGACCCTCCAAGGGATGGTTCCCTCCCTCTTAGATTTTGGTTGCCAAGGAGGCAGCAGGAACAGCTTGTTCTCTGGGCTCCCATCAGAGCAGCTAAGCCCAGGCCCCTCCCTTTCTTCCTTCTTCCTCCTCTCCCTCCCAGTCTGTTGCTAGGAAGCACCCCAATATTTCTCAAGGGTCCCAGCCTTAGAAACAAGGGGATCTAGCTATCTTTCTGAAGTGCTTCCTCCAAATGCCTGGAAGCTAAGACTCCAGACAGCATCCTCCACCCCTGGGGAGAAGCCCTGAGTGGCTGGGAGGACAGGCCCTCTGCCAGCCTGCCCGGGAACTAGCTCTGCGGCCTGGGCCTCAGGAATTCTCCCCTCCATTTCATTTGATCTCCTGGGCTCTGTGTGATGTCAGCAAATGAAGAGGCGTCCAACAGACACCCCTTGACTCTGTAGACACAGTTTCACTTATTGGGGAGCTCTGGAAAGATAGGAAATGGAGATACCACCAGCTATGAGAAGCATTACTCTGATGTTCTCTCCCTAGTGATCTTTCAACTGAGAAAAGATGATGGAGATGGAAGAAAGGAGGAAAGTTTATGGGATTTGGAGATCAAGTGGCTGGCAAAGATGAGAGACTGGGAAATTAGCCAACAATTACCCTGTTAAGAGTAAAGTGGCCACTTAATTCCTCCTATCAATCACCATGGTCCCATTAGGTGCCCTGGTTATGGGTCACAAAAAGGGAGCCAGGGAAAGGAGTCAGGCCTGGCTGAGCCTTGCTTTTAGGGCAAGAAGTGGAAAAAAAGAAACTGATGTCTTCTCCAGGTTTTCTTTCAGGGTTTCTCCCACTTTATTTGTTCATTTGACATACTCTCCCCTCCCCCACCCTGCTTTTTTTGGTAAAGATTTATTTTATTGGACTCCCCTGTTGGTGCAAGGGGTTAAGTCTCAGCACTACGCAGCCACTGTAGCATGAGTTCGATCTCCAGGCCGGGAGCTAATCCACATGGCGCAGCAGACCTCTCCTGTCTCACCTGCTGCTCCCCTCAGCAGTGTATTTCAGTAGATCTGCCTGTTCTGCTCCCCACTCTGTCTCTGGTGAATCCTCTTACCCCTGCACCTCTAGCCTGTACCCCAGTTCTTGTATGCATAACTAATCTTTAAAAAAAAGACTTATTTGGGCCTCCCTGGTGGCGCAGTGGGTTGAGCACAGCGCTCTGAAGCTGTCTGCAGTCTCTGCAGCGCTGGTTCGATTCCAGGCTGGCCAGGGAGATAACCACATGGCCATCAGACCTCTCCTGTCTCGCCCGCTGCTCCCCTCAGCAGTGTACTTCGGTCCGTCTGCCTGTTCTGTTCCCCATTCTGTCTCTGGTGAATCTTCTCACCCCCCACACCTCTGGCCTGTACCCCAGTTCTTGTATAAAAATAAACAAATCTTAAAAAAAAGAGATTTATTTTATTCATTTATTCACCAGAGACAGAGTGGGGAACAGAACAGGCAGATCTACTGAAATACACTGCTGAGGGGAGCAGCACGTGAGACAAGAGAGGTCTGCTGCACCACATGGGTCAGCTCCCTGGCTGAGGATCGAACTGGTGCTATATTGGCTGTGGATAACTTCATAGTGCTGGGACTTAACCCCTTGGGCCAACAGGGAGGTATTTTTATTTTATTTTATTTTATTTTTAGAATTTAATATGCTCCAAGGATCAGATCCCCTAAACTTTCCTAGCTTCTGGTTTTACTTCTGTATAGAACCCCCTCCTCCTGCCATTGTGGCAGGAGAGAAGAGGGGAGGGGAAGGGGGCAGGTCCTGTACCATCAGAGTTTGGGCTTACTGTCCTGCAGCCCTTCCTCTCCAGTGGAAGAGAGGATGGGACAGGCTGGCTTGGAGACTAGGATCTACCTGGGCTGGAAGGGTGGGGGTGGGGGGGCTGGAAGTATGAAGAGAATGTAGGCTTCCCTGCCACCCCTGGCCTTGGCATTAAAGCATCTGGCCTCTTTGGATTGGGAGTGTGGAGAGGGAAGGCATCCTTCAGAGTGTTGGAAAATGGTTCAATTCTGAGAATGGGTTCAAATTCTGCCTTCCACCATCCTGGCTGGACTGTTTCTGGACCTCCAGAAAGGGAGTGGGGACAGTTGAAAAACAAAGAAGGCAACTGGAGGGGACCTGGGCCTGTGCCTGAGATAGGGCCAGCCCTACCTAGGCCTCTCCCTCACCCTCTCTTCCCCCAGATAGATGGAAAGCAGGGATTCCATGTGGGCACTGGCAGGGGGAAGGGAACGGGGCTGGAGCCCGCTATGTATCACTGTGTGGAGGGACTGTCTCTCCCCATCCACCTGCTGCCAATGCACTCTCCGTAGTGGGGAGGGGGCCAGGCAGGCTTCCAAAGGGGGGGAAAAAAAGTTCAATAAGGGTAGGGGAATGACTCAGTTTCCCTTGGAGAAAAGGGGAGGTGAAGCCCTCTGTGCCTTTATCCTTACCAAGTGTTTCAGTGTTTCTGGGTTTCTGGGTCTAGACTTGCCACTTTTCCTTACACTTCTAACTAGCCTAGATAAGGAATGTCCTCTTCCCCCTGGGTACTCAAAATGCGGTTTCCCCATCCCATGCCCCACTCCTGTCTAGCTCCTTGGCTGCTCCAAGGCCAGCTTGCCATGTCACTCTGCCTGGCTGGCTTCCACCTGCCCCTTTTCTCCAGCCAGACCAGCCCACTAGAAGAAGAGGCTGGGGTTTGGGGCGAAGAGCGCACAGATGGGGGCTCAGCCTTCATCAGGCTGGGTGAGACGATGATATGGCCAGAAGAAAACAAAGTAAGTGGTGCTTGGAGAGGGGCTATGTGGGGTAAGGGTTTCCTTTTACACCCATGGGGGATGTTAGCCTCTCTTCTCTCACCCTCTAGTGGGGTCTCATGGAGTCCTGTCCTGGTGGTGGGCAATGAGAGAGCTCCAGTGGGTCCTGGGAAGCTCTCATGGTGCAGGGGGGAGAGGTGGTGTGAGAAAAGACTGTCTCTGATATTTACAGACAAGAAAGGCAGGACAGTCAACTTAGACAAATTGAAAATGGCCCTTGCCCAGAGCTAAGGGAGCCCATGTTCTCCGTTAGGGGCCAGTCCTCAGGGGAACCCTGCCAAGCCTAGAGAAGGCACTGCTGGTGGTGGGGAACAAGGAAGGCAGATGACCCGGCTACAAAAGCCATTTCCAAGTGACTGTGAAGTGGGGAGTCTCCCCCCCTCAGATCTGCCAGGCTTCCTGCCAGTGAGGAATAGTTTGAGCTCAGAATATCACTACCCTCAGGGCCCAAACATTCCCTACTCTCATGTGGAGCAGACCCAACACCCACTAACTCAGTCAGGAGCACTGACTGTTGACAGTGTCTCTCCAAGCCAGGCAGTTTGGGCTGTGAGGGCTGGGGAAGGAGCTGCAGGGTCCCAGAATGGCTCAGGTGGGGGACCTGAGGCTGCTGTAACAGGAAAGGATTGAGAGGAGAGGAATGATAGAGTGAGGGGTGTGGGAGAAGAAGGGAGGCCAGGTATGTAAAATTCGCCAGAGAAATTGGTTTGTGGCCATCTTATGTGTGTGTGGGGTGGGGTGGGTGCGAGGGGTTTGGAGGTAAAATGTGAGGAGTCTGGGTTGTCCCTTTTTCCTGCTTTGGAAGTTTTGGCTACACATATTTGGCAGCTGTTTTGTATAAACACAATTTCCCAGCGGTGTCAATTGGGCAGGCACAAAAGGGAACAGAATGGAGGGGGGTGTGGGTGTATAGTCCAGAGGCAGTAATGACCTTACAGGGATGTGATCCAGGCCTCCTCCAGCTGCATGCTCCCCTTCATTTGAAACAGGAGTCTTTGTCTCCCTGTTTAGACTGTATTCCAGATACCCAGGATCTTGTTATTCTTTACCTTAAAGACCATAAGTTTGATTACAGAGGTGGAGTGGGTTGCTTTCCCAAATTCTTCCCCTTGGGAACTGATTTTTTCACTGAAAAGGTGGTCAGAGAATGGTGGTTGGGGAATATGGATGCCGCGTTGACTGAAGGATTGGGGTATCAGGCTCTTTTGGGTATGGGGTAGGGGCTGAAAATAGGGGTGGCAAGACACTGGCTAAAGGTGCCCATGTCTTCTTTTGTCCCTGTATTAGTGTTAGAGAAAGATCTGTCCATGGGGCAGGGCTGTGTGTAGGGAGACGCAGACAGTGCAGCCAGAGGTGGGTAGTATTTGCTTTTGGGCTTCTCCCTGGCAGGGAAAGAAGGGCTTATGCCTGAAGTCCTGGACTTAATTTTCTTAATATGTTTCCAAAGGATAAGTGAGACATCACATTGATTTTGATGATTTTGTTTAAGAATAAATTTATAGGAAATTTATTTGGTAGGAAGAAAATTAGAAGATATAGAGGGTCCCACATGCCTCAATTTCTCTTCTTGTTAACATTAAAAAAAAAGATTTATTTATTTATACATACAAGAGTTGGGGTACAGGCCAGAGGTGTGGGGGGTGAGAGAATTCACCAGAGACAGAGTGGGGAGCAGAACAGACAGACCGACTGAAATACACTGCTGAGGGGAGCAGCAGGGGAGACAGGAGAGGTCTGCTGCACCATGTGGGTTGCTCCCTGGCTGGCCAGGGATGAAACTTGTGCTGCAGAGGCTGTGTATTGCTTCCTAATGCTGTGCATAACACCAGGGAGTACCACTTGTTAACATTTTACACAATATGTACATTTGCTATAATTAATGAACCGTTATTGATACATTAGTATCAACTAAAGTTCATGCTTTTTTTCAGATTTCCTTAGTTTTTACCATTCTTTTTCAGTTCCAGAGTCACATCCAGATACCAGGTTACATTTAGTACCATCCTTAGGTCCTCTTGGCTATGGCAGTTCCTGAGACTGTCCTTGTTTTTGAGAACCTAAATCTCAGTTTCCTTCTTCATTTCCTCCTTACTTCTCCCGCGTGCAGTGCCAGAGATTCTGGGAAGACCCTCAGCTTTGGGAGTCATGTGGTGATGTGTGTGCAACTGACAGCCTCAATGCTCTTTCTGAAAATACGGGCGTGGAATGAGAACTCTGGTAGAGCCAGGGATTTAGGAGAACAAAAACAGGCCAGGAAAGAGAAAGAACCATATTGCTAAAGGAACGCCACACCCTGGCTGTGCCTGCTAACTAGCGGGTAATGAAAGGGTGTCAGAAGAGGATTTAAATGCCCGGACGGCGGTGACGACATCGGGCGACATCTGATTGCGAGGGGCCTTTCGAGACCACCCCTACTCCCGCCCCCATCAGCCCCTGATCTCTATGATGCCTCAAATCCTGTGTGTCGGATCCTAAAGGAGAGAAATAATAAGTTCGCTAGCTTAGTCCCTCAGCTCCCTCGCTAGCCCAGAACAAGGAACTACAATTCCCAGAAGACATCCTGGCGCGACCTGTCTCCTGTTGTATTCCTATTGGCTCATGGTTGCTACTCCCAGCCAATAGAAAATTGTTTCTTTGATAAGTGCCAAGATGGCGATGCCTAGGCTCTAGAACTAGATCGTCCGGTAGGCTTAAATTTGGGGAGATGGTGGATGAAAAGAAAATAGGGAGCTATAGTTTTAAGATTGAGGAAGGTGAAGGGAAATCTGGATTTGGGCTGAGGGACGCAGCCTCAGCCGGTTCCACGGAACTGGAACTGGTTTAACCCCTTGCTGCCCTCTTTACTCTTTGTATCAAGCCTCCTTGACTCCCTCCTCTTAGTGCTCCAGTTCAAGGAAAGATGGTTTAGAAGGGAAGAGCTTGAGAGGACCCTTAACCCGCCCTGTTCGCCTATTTTTCTTTGTAGTACCTCTGCCTGCCTTAAATCTGCCTGCATCTTCTGCCCTCCGTTCAACTATTTCCTCCCCTGTTCTTTCCTCAGAGTCGCCTTTCTCTTTCTCGAGCTAGGTAGCTCCCACCTCATAGCTGACCGCCACCGGCCCTTCCTCCTCAGAGTGAAATCATGAAGGTGGTGAACCTGAAGCAAGCAATTCTACAAGCCTGGAAGGAGCGATGGAGTGACTATCAATGGGCAATCAACATGAAGAAATTCTTTCCCAAAGGAGCTACCTGGGACATTCTCAACCTAGCAGGTCTCAAGTGAAGGAGGAAGGAAGGATGGGAGGGGTAAACCCAGAAAAATTGTACATACTCAGTCTTTCTTTGTTATTACCCTTGCAGAAGCACTGCTGGAGCAGGCCATGATTGGACCTTCCCCCAATCCTCTCATCCTGTCCTACCTGAAGTATGCCATTAGTTCCCAGGTAAACTGCCCATCTTCTCCAGAGAGTGAGGGTTTGAAAGTAAAAGATTTGGAGTGCAATTGCAGCTCATACTTTCTCGGTGAATTAGTTTGAACACATCACTTCTCTGAGCTGTTTTCTCATGAAAATAGTAATACTTGTTGGTTGTGGTGACTATGTCGTTAACTTATTCTTTCAATTAATAGTCATGAATTCTTGTCTGTGGGTTTATAGCTGTGATCAAAACCTGATCCCAACACATAAGGAGTTTTAGTGGGTAATACAGACTGGAAGAAGCAGTCACAGGATGGTTTATGATATGGGTAGGACAGAGTACTATGGGCATACATGGGAAGGACACCTGAATCAGTCTGAGGAATCAGGGAAGGCTTGCTGGAGAAAGTAATGTTTAAATCAAGGCTTGAATGTTTTTTTTTTTTCAATTTTTTGGGGAAGATTTATTTATTTATACAAGAACCGGGGTACAGGCCAGGTGTGCGGGAGTGTGAGAGGATTCACCAGAGACAGAGTGGGGAACAGAACAGGCAGACTGACTGAAATACACTGCTGAGGGGAGCAGCGGGCGAGACAGGAGAGGTCTGCCGTGCCATGTGGGTTTCTCCCTGGCTGCCCGGGATCGAACCTGTGCTGCAGAGGCTGCGGACAGCTTCACCGTGCAGCGCTCAACTGGCTGCGCCACCAGGGAGGCCCCAAAGCCTGAATGCTGACTAGAAGGTAGATTGATGAACGTATACAAAGCAGTATATGTAAAATCTTGGAGGCAAAAGTTACATGATGCTATTTAAGGAAAAAAAACATTATTTTTTGGTATGGCTAGAGAAACAGTTTTGTTCTCAGGACCCTTTTATACACTTACAAATTATAGGCTTTCACAGAGTTTTTGTTTGTATACATTATTATCTCTTTCCATATTTACAGTTTTAGAAATTAAAACAAGTCAAAAGAATATTTATGGACTTATTTAAAAGTAGCAAAAAATGGGCCTCCCCTGGTGGCTCAGCAGTTGAGCGCTGGGCTGTGAAGCTGCCTGTAGCCTCTGCAGCGCTGGGTCCATCCCCGACCACCGGAGAGGGTGCCACATGGTGCTCAGACCTCTCCTGCCATGCCCACTGCTGCCCTCAGCAGTGTATTTCATCAGTCTGCCTGTTCTGTTCCCTGCTCTGGCTCTGGTGAATTCTCTCACCCTCCCACGCTTGTGACTGTACCCAGTGCTTGTATAAATAAAATAAATCTTAAAAAAAAAAAAAGTAGTAAAAAATACTGTTGTGTTAATATAAATAACTTTTTTTTTTTTTTAAAAATAGAAGATTTTTTATTTTTTTTTTTTAATAGAGGCATGTTATATTTATTTATTCATTTATTCATTTGTTTGTTTTGTTTATACATGCACTGGGTACAGTCAGAAGTGCGGGAGGGTGAGAGAATTCACCAGAGCCAGAGAGGGGAGCAGAGCAGGCAGAAGGACCGAAGTACACTGCTGAGGGGAGCAGCGGGCAGCAGGAGAGGTCTGCGCGCCATGTGGGACCCTCCTCCGGTGGCTGGGGAGCAGCCGGGGATCGAACCGGCGCTGCAGAGGCTGCTGGCAGCTTCGCAACCCAGCGCTCAACCACTGCGCCACCGGGGAGGCCCAATATAAATAACTTTTTAATGAAAAATAACCACACAGGGCCTCCCTGGTGGCGCAGCGGTTGAGCGCTGGGTTGCGAAGCTGCCTGCGGCCTCTGCAGCGCCGGTTCGATCCCGGGCTGCTCCCCGGCCACCAAAGGAGGGTCCCACATGGCGCGCGGACCTCTCCTGCCGCCCGCTGCTCCCCTCAGCAGTGTACTTCGGTCCTTCTGCCTGCTCTGTTCCCTGCTCTGGCTCTGGTAAATTCTCTCACCCTCTGTTCCCTGCTCTGGCTCTGGTGAATTCTCTCACCCTCCCGTGCTTCTGACTGTACCCAGTGCATGTATAAACAAACCATCAAACAAATAAATAAAAAAATAAATAAAACATGCCTCTATAAAAAAAAATTAAAAAAAATTAATATAAGACTGCTGAATTCTCATGTTCCGCATTTAGTTGTTGTAATAGGCTATTTTGGTTGAATGATAAAGAGAATCTGGCCTTACAACATCAGAGAATTTGAAAAGGGAGGGGAATTTTAATAAGCTTTTCAAATAACTGAACATACTGCATTAAAACTCAACTGGTGATGTGAAACCACCTCAGTGAACTTTTTATACTCATATTGAAGCTACTAGTCACTCTCTTGCACTTTTTTTTAAAGAAAGATTTTTTTCTTTCTTTTTTTTTTATAGCAGCATGCTTTATTTATTTATTTGTTTGTTTGTTTATACATGCACTGGGTACAGTCAGAAGCGCGGGAGGGTGAGAGAATTCACCAGAGCCAGAGCAGGGAGCAGAGCAGGCAGAAGGACCGAAGTACACTGCTGAGGGGAGTAGCGGGCGGCAGGAGAGGTCTGCGTGCCATGTGGGACCCTCCTCTGGTGGCCGGGGAGCAGCCAGGGATCGAACCAGCGCCGCAGAGGCCGCGGGCAGCTTCGCAACCGAGCGCTCAACCGCTGCACCACCGGGGAGGCCCAAGAAAGATTTATTTCTTTATGCATACAAGAGCTGGGGTGTAGACCAGAGGTGCAGGGGGTGGTGATGAGGGGATTCACCAGAGACAAATTGGGGAGCAGAACAGGAGGACTGACTGAAATACACTGCTGAGGGGAGCAGCGGGTAAGCCAGGAGAGGTCTGCTACACCATGTGGGTAGCTCCCTGGCCTGTGATTGAACTCTTGCTGCAGTGGCTGCGGATAGCTTTGTAGGTTACGTCTTAACCCCTTGCGCCACCAGGGAGGCCCCCTCTTGCACTTTTAATAGATTTTTTTACTTCATGCATGATTTTATAATATGGATTAGTCATTTGGGAAATATCCATAACTGACTTATACAGATATTCCAATTGTTGACATGTGATATAATATCATATGTCAATGGCGCCTTTGGAACATTACATGTACAATTGTGAGAAGGAGTGTGAGTTAGGCAAATAATATCTTTGTAGTATTTTAGAACTAGTTTTTATCTCCCAGAACCTAGGGGTTCCTGGTTCATACTTTGAAAAATACTGGGCTAACACTTTGATGAGACTGAGGATAGAGGTTAGGCCAGAATGAACTTACGAGTGATGCTAAGGAGTTTAGACTTGACTAGTAATAATCATTTAAAGGGTTTTAAGTAGAGGAATGGTATATGTGTGTATATGTGTGTGTATACATGTGTGCATACATGTATTTTACATGCAATAAAATGCACACGTGCACATATATTTAACATGCAGTAAAATTCACAGATCTTAAAATTAATTTAGTAAGTGTTATCAACTGCGTACGCCCATGTTACTAACATCCAAATTGAGATGCATAATATTTCATTCTCTCAAAAAGTTTCCTTGTGTTCTTTCTAGTCTGTTTTCCTATGGCCACAAAATGATTTCTGTTACCATAAAAAACATTGCCTATATTTGGATTTCATAGAAATGGAATCATACAGTGTATACTTTTTTTTTTTTTAAAGATTGTTTATTTATGCATACAAGAGCTGGGTGGGACACAGGCCAGGGATGTGGGGGGTGAGAGGATTCACCAGAGATAGAGTGGGGAACGGAACAGGCAAACTGACTGAATACACTGCTGAGGGGAGCAGTGGCGAGTCAGGAGAAGTCTGCCTCGCCTTGTGGGTTTCTCCCTGGCTGGCTGGGGATAGAACTTGTGCTGCAGAGGCTGTGTATTGCTTCATAGTGCTGTGCTTAACCCCTACTCGTTGCGCCACCAGGGAGGCCCACATATAGTGTATACTCTTGAGACTCTGTCTTCTTTAATTTAACATAAATATTTTTGAGATGTATTTATGTTGTTAGGTATGTCAGTGGTTCATTCTTTTTTTAAGTAACTGAATAGTATTCCTTAGTTGACATATAGTTCTTATGCTTCCTTTTCCTTTTGGCTTCATGTCTGTTTTCCACGTTAGCATGTAGTCATTTATCTTACTCTTTTTAACTGCTGTATCATACTGATGTGTACTGTAATTAAAGTTGTTTCTGACTTTTTTTTTAAAGATTTATTTCTTATTTATTTATGCATACAAGAGGTGTGTAGGCCAGAGGTATAGGGGGTGAGAGGATTCACCAGAGACTGAGTGGGAAGCAGAACAGGTGGACTGACTGAAATACACTGCTGAGGGGAGCAGCAGGCGAGACAGGAGAGGTCTGCTGCGCCATGTGGGTCAGCACCCTAGCCGGGGATCTAACTGGTGCTGCTGTGAATGGTGATAGCTTGATAGCACTGAGACTTTAACCCTTGCACCACCAGGGAAGCCCCTTCCTGACAAATTTTAAAAGTACCTTCCTAACTCCTTTAAAAAAATCCTATTGTATTTTGATTTCTTTGACTTTCTGGATTTGGGGAACTTGCGGATTAATTTTAGAAACATTGCTTTGGTTGTGGTCTGGAAAGAGTTGGAGGGAGGTGAGACAAAAGCAGGAGATCGTTTAGCCTGGAGTATTTTTTCTGTAATGGAAAAAATGCAATCTTAGCTTGGTAGGCTGTATAGTCTCTTTTGCCACTATTTTGTCATTTTAGCTCAAAAGCAGAGGTACACATTATGTAAAAAGTTGACATGACTGTATTCTGATAAAACTTTATTTGCAAAAATGTGATAAGCCAGGTCTTGCTCTGACTGGTTTTCAAATCTCTGATTTATGCTATTGCGGTGATTCAGGGAAGAAATGATACCAATATAAGCTTGGGGAGAGACAACAGGAAAAAAAGATGAATTTAGGAATAATTTTGGAAGTGGCATTGAGAGGATGTGGTGATTCCATGGGTGTGAGATGTGAGGAAGAGGGAGACATCAAGGCTAGTGCCTGGGCTTCTGGTTGGTTACTGGACTGCTGTGGGATTGTGGAGCACAGGGCTGTAGGGGAACGCTCTTGTCCGTGTTGGGATACAGGGAGGGTGGAGATGATACCTTCAATTACAGTCTTGTTAGGTATAGGCCCCTCTGGGGGCTACCAAAGAGAAGGTGCTCAGTGGACACTGACCATATACGTCTGGAACTCAGAAGGAGAGTGCTAGCTGAAGATATTGATTGAGGAATCGTCATCGCAGGAGCTGGTTGCAACCATGGGTATGGGTGAGACGGCTCCAAGAGTGTGGAGAGTGAGCAAGCAGGTGACCCAGGCCATGTTCCTGAGGAACCCATCACGATTTAGGAAGGCACATTGGGGAAGAATTCCTTATAGGAGACTGAAAAGCCAGGAGGAGAGAAGGAAAGCAGCAGAAGGTGGGCTCAAGAAAAGCCAAGGTAGGAGAGGACTGAAGATGAGGAAGTGTAATGTCAGATGCTGCGGAGACTCAGCCTGGAGGAGGGGCCATGGGGCACAACACCAGGAGCCTGTTCGTGACCCACCAGGAGATTCCCGGTGTGGCCCGGAGGACAGAGGTGATTGGAGTGCACAGATGGCAAACGGAAGGTGGTCAGGTAGACAGTGAATGCGGAGAACTCTTGGTTCTATGAAGAGCCGGAGAGGGAGGTGGTTAATTGGAAATGTGGGGTCAGCAGGAAGTTCTTTTAAAAACAGAAGAATCTTGAGGTGTGTAAACACTGATGGGAAAGACAGGAGGGAGAAAGAGGCTGAAGTAAGCCTGAGAGGGAAATAAATACATGTGCAGGACCTTCACAACTTGTGAAGTGCTCTGCCAAGTTAGTCGTTGATTCTTCTTCAGTGTCAAGAGGCTCTTGGGCCTAGGGCTCCACATGTGGAGAGCACTCAGGGTTGAGGGTGTCGCATAGGAAGAAGAGCAGCGGGATTAGCGAGCAGCTGCGGGGTCAGCCCGGGCGGGCCAGGTGTCTGTGGGGCACATGCAGCCCCAACCCTGGGACGGTGGTGGTGTAGAGCTTCCCTGTTGATAGATATACCAAGACTGAAATAGGTTAAATCCTGCTGTGAAAAACACTTCACCACGTGGCAAGTATTTTTAGGCGTCTGGAGTAGCTGTGCCTTATTGATACAGTTAGGAAAAACTTCTCAAATGGAATTCTGAATTTGGAAAGCCTAATTCATTTTAACTGGTGGCATCTCTCAGAAGGTACAGAATTGGGGCTTTCTCTTTTGGTGCTTTGGGGTCCCTTTCCAGTGGGGACGTCCAGCTCCCCCTTCAGGTTGGTATCCCGCAAGGCTCAGTGCCCTGCCAGGTGCTTGCTATGGGGACATGGGTTATAAATAAACACGCATTGGCCCGAATGCATGGTCATCCTGCCCAGGCAGGCTCCCAACTTTCTGGTCACTGTCAGACACCAGCTGTGGCTTCCTAGTACATCCTGGGACTTGCCAGTGCGTCCTGCCCAGAGTGGCACTGAGCACCATTCGTGTACTCAAGTCCTCTGTTGTTTTGTTCCTGTTTATCCAAGAACACTGGTTAAAGAAGTCTGAGCAGAGAGCATTCTGTTCACATGATGGAGAAATTGCGGAAGGCTTTGCCTTGCATGAAATTTGTCAATAAGATCATGCAGGCTGACTTAGCTTTCTAAAATCTTGGAAATTTCTGTTCCTCTGCTAAGACAACCCATGAGGCAGCTGATTATCCTGATGTTCTGTTACTGTTTCCTGTTTTTGGTTTGGGGTTTTTTTTTTTTTTTTTTTGTATTTTTTTTATTTTTTATTTTTTAAAGATTTATTTATGCATACAAGAGCTGGGGTACAGGCCAACGATGTGAGGGTGGGGTGGGGTATGTGTGTGAGAGGATTCACCAGAGATAGAGTGGGGAACAGAACAGGCAGACTGACTGAAATACACTGCTGAGGGGAGCAGCGGGTGAGACAGGAGAGGTCTGCATTGCCATATGGGTAGCTCCCCAGCCGGCTGGGGATCAAACTGGTGCTGCAGAGGCTGTGGATTGCTTCATAGTGCGGTGCTTAACCCCTAGCACCACCAGGGAGGCTTTATGGTGTCTTTTATCACTGATTTTTTTTTTTTTCAGATTTATTTTATTTATTTATTCATACAAGCACTGGGTACAGTCAGAAGCGCAGGAGGGTGAGAGAATTCACCAGAGCCAGAGCGGGGAGCAGAGCAGGCAGAGGGACTGAAGTACACTGCTGAAGGGAGCAGCGGGCGGCAGGAGAGGTCTGCGCGCCATGGGGGACCCTCCTCTGGTGGCTGTGGAGCAGGTGGGGATCGAACCAGCGCTGCAGAGGCTGCGGGCAGCTTCGCAACCCAGCACTCAACCGCTGCGCCACTGGGGAGGCCCTTTTATCACTGATTTTGAGTAGACCATTGTACCTACTTTCCGTGGTCTAGCTCATATTTTATCAGCATGCTCGAATAATGTTTTTTAAAAAATAGCAACTTGAAAAAATATTTTTCTGTAGGATTTAATTTCATTTAGGACAAATTCTTTTTCTTTTGAATGTCTCCAATCTGATGATGGTGAAGAGCGGGTTTTACTAACAGAAATTTGTTTGAAGTTAACATTTTATCAGAATGCAGGTAGTTAATCGAAGTCATCAATCCAAAACAATAAAAACTGACTGAGGACCTACTATGTGTTGGTCCTTGAGCTAGTGCTAGAGACACATAAATTCAACACTGTTTCTGTTCTCAGGGAGTTCCTTGGTCAGGTCGAATTTCCCAAAATATATTTGGAAATGCCAGTTAAATGAAATTCCTTGATCAAGTAAGTCAGAAAAGTAGTTCTTGCTTCATCCCCAGTCATCTTAGAGGTTCTCATTGCAAACAACTATATAATGGTCATGAGAATTCCTACAGAAAGAAACCTCTTTATGTATGTTTCATAAAAATTTTCTTCAGTTTGTATCATACAGGTGCTCTCAGTGTGCACGTGTGTAAAAATTTTTAACATCTTAAAAGCCCTTTGGTTCAACATGGCGGAAACTTCAATGGTGATGGAAGTGTCACATGTGACTTTTGAGTGGTTGAAATGTTGCTAGTAGAAGTGCATTTTTTATTTTATTATTTTGTAAATTTTATTTTATAAATTTTAATGATAATTTATTATTTTATAAATTATCAATTTAAATTCAAACAACCACATGTGACTAGTGGTTTCCCAATTGGACAGTGCCCCTTTGGACGTTACTTTGGGAAATGGTGATTAAAAATGTGTTTTTACTTATTCATTCTACAAACATTAGCAGCAAGCTCATGGTGGTCACTGGGTAGAAGTGTCCTCGTCCTCAAGGAGGTCCTGATTTGGTGGGGGCAACAAGCACCCCCTGTGTAATGACGAGCATCAGGGGATTACTTGGAGCACAGAGGAAGGATTTCAGCTTTGAGTGGGAGGTTGCGTAATCAGAGAAGGTGCCTTGGAGGGGCCCTCGAGAATGAGTGAGAGTGGATAACGAGCCTCACTGCCTGTTTCAAGGTGCAGGTACTACCTGTTTGGTGCAGAGTGTGTGTTTGTCTCAGGTTCTTGTGTGAATAAAATCACCCTCGGCAGGACTTGCAGGAAAAAGTAACGAGGCTTCGTTCTCATTTATTCTTCTGTCCACTTGCAGTCAATCAAGCCTTGCATAGATTGGGCTCTGAGTGGCACCTTTGAGTGCCCCCAAATCACCTCCATGGGTTTATGCTGATGATGTCATTTGCATTGGGTCTGATAGAAGTGGGGACAGGGACAATGCCATGTGTGACTGCCCCTGTTTTAGTGGGTTGAGGAAACTCACTTGAAGGGGTTAAGGTTTTAGGAGAGCTGTAGCCACTTTGGTGTTTTTGTTCATAACTGTGGGGCTCTGGTGGTCTGAACTTTATGTTTATTCCTTCCCTCCAGATGGTGTCCTACTCCTCCGTCCTCACAGCTATCAGTAAGGTATGACCATGGCCACCAGGTTGGGGAGGGTAACAGAGGCCCACTAGTGGCAGGCAGGGCCCCACCTCGGGGGTCCTGTGACCTCTGACAGGCAGTTCACATGGCTCTGCCCGCCTTGTTGCTTCCATTGGCGGCATGGGGCCCTAGGAAACGGGACTGGCAAGTAGGTGTCAATTCCAGTGTTAAAAGGAAACCTGAGGTTGGAGGAGAGATGAGCAGGCGTCCTGAATGAGCGCATCTGCCCCATGTGCGGCCATCAGCAGAGGGCGGGGGGTGGGGGGGGTGGGGGGAGCGCTGACTGGGGCGTTCCACACCTCCACCATTCTTTCCACAGTTTGATGACTTTTCCCGGGACCTGTGCGTCCAGGCTTTGCTGGATATCATGGATATGTTTTGTGACCGACTAAGGTAATGCAGGGTGAGATCTCCCACCTCCCAGCATTGTCTTTGTGTGAGGGAGAAGCTCCTAGCGCATAGGTTGAGACCAGCCGTGGGGTTCCCACACTTCTTCCCACATGCTCATCTATCCACCCATCCCCATCCCTTCCCATTTACTCTCTGAGGACAAGGAAACCTCTCCCTGTTCAGGTAGCTCATTTGAAACCTTGTCCAGTGGAAGGAAGCCAGCAGGGCAAAGTGTCTTCCTGAGGACTTTGCTGGCTTCCCAACTCTCTTCCCTCGTAGGGGAGGGCCAGACACTCCGGGAACATTGGTGTGGGTCAGATTTCAGCCTTTGGAGCCCAGACAGATCTTGCTTGCCTTCTTTCCCTTTAGCTGTCATGGCAAAGCTGAGGAGTGCATCGGGTTGTGTCGGGCCCTTCTCAGCGCCCTCCACTGGCTGCTGCGCTGCACTGCAGCCTCTGCAGAGCGGCTCCGGGAGGGGCTGGAGGCAGGCACTCCCGCTTCTGGGGAGAAGCAGCTGGCCATGTGCCTGCAGCGGCTGGAGAAGACCCTCAGCAGCAACAAGAACCGGGCCCTGCTCCACATCGCCAAATTAGAGGAGGCCTGTATGTCCCCTGGTTCCCTTGTGCCCCACCTGCCATTGCTCCCATAGCCGGTTCTTTAATTGAGAGGGGAGAGGCAGGATGCCATCCCACTTCTTTCCAGAAGGATCCGAAATCATCCCACTTCCTTTTTTTTCTCCCCATAAGCATTGCATACATCCCAGGGACTTGGGCAGGGTGGCACCCGAGCCAATCAACCAACAGGTATTTACTGAGCATTATTATATGCCCAGCACTGTGCCAGGTGCTGGGGGCGGGGGGTGGGGGGGCTACCAAAGGAGCATGTGGCAGGGTCCCTGCCTTCAGCAAGCATACATGCCAGTGGGGAGTGAGACTAGCATGCAGTATACGTGAAAAAATGAGAGGATGAGACAAGCATACCGCCCCGCCCCACCTTGTGTTTGGCTCCATGGTAACTCATGAAGCAGTGGCTCTGGTGTGTGAGTGGCACCTAAGCTGGCCTGTTAGGTGTGGGCACTGCCTGCCCTCAGGCCTGTTGTGCTGCTCACCTCTTGACTCAAGTGCTGGTGTGGATCAAGGGAAGCTTCTAGACCCTGAGAACAGACAGATCACCTGATAGGAGGGAAGACTGGTATTTCTGGACATGGGACCTAAAGACCATAGTCTTGCTATGGCTTGGGACCCCTAAGACTTTCTTGTTCTCCAGTTATCAGATTGCTAGGCCACGTTATACCCAGTCTCAGGAGACCTGAGGTTCTCTCCCCTGGCTGGAGAACTTTCTGTATGATTAGTATATTATTCCTCAAAACATGTTGTATTGTCTGTGAAAAGTCTAGAAAGATGATCACGATGTGAAGGTGTTGGCAGTTTCTTACCTATCTAGAGTACTTGACAAATGTTTCTTGACTGAAAAGTGAGTGAATTTTTAACTTAATGGACCTCAAGTCTTATGTTTTTGTTTCCTTCCCCAACCCCCGTGCTACATGGAGGTTGATGGGCTAGTTGGTGCCACTGTTGATCATTTGACCCTCTGGAATTGTGGGACAAGTGACTTCTGATTAAGTGTTAATTGGTGCAGTGTAGACTGTGCGTGCAGGCATTTAGGAGGGTCGCTCAGGGGGTTGCACAGTTGGGTAAGTGGTGAGAGGAGCTGGGGCTTGACCCAAGACTTGAAGGGTAGTGAGGGTGTGAGAAGGGAGGTGGGAGGAAAGGCATCTCAGAAGGGGGGAGCTGTGCCAGCAGAGGTGTGCAAGGAGTGGGGGGCAGGGAAGCTACCTGGGAAGAGGAGTCATGCCACTGCCTGGTGCCCTGAAGTGAGGTGTGGCCACCCTCCCTGTTCAGTCACTCGCCTCCTGCCTCCCTTGACCTCCACCTCTGCCCATGATAGGCCAGACCTGGTCTCTAAGGCCAGCTGTGTGCCACCCCTAGAGGCCAGGCCTCTGGGAATGGTCTCTCGGTGTTCATTGTTGGTGCTCATCCCCCTTCTAGAAACAGTGCATGCTGTCCTCAGGCTCTTGGCCTTCAGGTCACTCTCAGGGGAAGCCTCCCTTCCTGGTTTTGTGGGCTTAGGGGGTGCTTCGGCGTTTGGGGCCAGTGCCCGCTCTGTTCCCCATGATGTTTCTGCACTCCCTTTTCTCCACCAGCCTCCTGGACAGCCATTGAGCATTCTCTCTTGAAGCTTGGGGAGATCCTGGCCAATCTCAGCAACCCCCAGCTCCGGAGCCAGGCTGAGCAGTGTGGCACACTCATTAGGAGGTACCTGGTTCCCAGGGAGACTGTGGTGAAGCTCGAGAGGCCCGCCAGTGGGTGTGGGTGGGAAGAGGTGGTGCCAGCCCAGCGCCTGTGCCCTCTGGCTCTTCCTGGCTCCCCTAACACCGCCCCCTGCCCCTGTGTGTCTTGCCCTCAGCATCCCCACCATGCTGTCTGTGCACTCGGAGCAGCTGCACAAGACTGGCTTCCCCACGGTGCACGCAGTGGTTCTGCTCGAGGGCACCATGAACCTGACCGGCGAGATGCAACCCCTAGTGGAACAGCTGATGATGGTGAAGCGCATGCAGGTGGGGGGCCAGAGCTGCTCCTTTATCCCTGAGGCCCTGACTAGGCGGGGGTGGGAGGAAGCTCCTTTGGCCCTTCTGGGAGCAGTGTGGGGCCTGTCCTGCACGGTGCTGCCATTTTGCCTGGCAACCCAGGTCCTTGAATTAGAGTGGGAGTGCTGGGCAACAGCGTGCCCAGCCAGAACCTCCTGGTCATTCAGAGATGACTATGGAGTGCACATTCTTACACCTCATCCTTGATCTTGCCACAGCATATTCCCACCCCACTTTTCGTCCTGGAGATTTGGAAAGCTTGCTTTGTGGGGCTCATCGAGTCTCCAGAGGGGATGGAGGAGCTCAAGTGGACAGCTTTCACCTTCCTCAAGGTACTCGACATGCGAGCAGCAGCTGGTCCAGGATGTTCTCAGGAAGAGTGTGAACACCCCGGACCTTTGCCCCATGCGTCTCCCTGCTGGCATCGTGCCCAGTCTGCCAGGTCCCCCAGCACAAGTTCCCATCGATTGCTTTCTCTGCAAGTCTCTGGGCTATATTTAGCCCACTTGGCAGGCCTCTGCCTTTCTTAGCACGGAGCCGCTGTGCAGCTCTGTCATCAGCCAGACGGTTTAGGCATCAGCGAGTAAGGGAAGGGGTCCTGGACCTCAGAACAAGGCTCCACTTTGTTCGTGCACGACCTATTGAGGGAGGTCTGGATCCTGAAGGCTGAGGAAACCTGGCACACAGGTCCCTGTCAGCTTACTGGTCTGTCAAGGAGTGCTTGCTTTCTTTTTTTTTTTTTTTTTTAAGATTTATTTATACATATAAGAGCTGGGGTGTAGGCCAGAGGTGCCAGGGGAGTGAGATGATTCACCAGAGACAGTGGGGAGCAGAACAGCTGGAACAAGTGAAATACACTGCTGAGGGGAGCAGCGGGTGAGACAGGAGAGGTCTGCTGCGCCATGTGGGTCAGCTCCTTGGCTGGGGATCGACCTTGTGCTGCAGTGGCTGGTGATAGCTTCATTGTGCTGAGACTTAACCCCTTGCACCACCAGGGAGGCCCCTGTCAAGGAGTGCTTTCATTTCAGGATGGGAGTGGTCTTGTCTCTGCTCAGAGCAGGGGGTGAGGGGATGCCTTTAGTTCTGGGTGAAAGAGAGAAGAAATTGAGCTTCCCATTTCCCCCCTCTTCACCCTCCAGATCCCACAGGTTTTGGTGAAGTTGAAGAAATATTCTCACGGGGACAAGGTGAGTTGAAGAGATGATATGGGAGGCATGGGTGCAGGTAAGTCCTTGTGTCTGCCCCACAGAAGCAGGGCCATGGAGGTACCTGAAGGGTTGGGGGTACCAGCAGCTCGTGTATCCGAGTGTCTGCCTGCATCCTCAGACATGCCCTCGCCAGGAGGCCCTCTTGGGGCCACTGGCTCCTCATGCTCCGTCTCCTCCAGTCACTGGCAGTCAGTTATGGGTACAGAGCCTTGTAGGCCTTTATATGCAGCAGGGCGTCCCTGTGGGCCTGCATCCCAGGTGTGGGGGCACTGGAGGACCTTGCAGGCAGGTAGCAGTTTCTGACTCTGCAGGACTTTACTGAGGATGTCAACTGTGCTTTTGAGTTCCTGTTGAAGCTCACGCCCCTGCTGGACAAAGCTGACCAGCGCTGCAAGTATGAGCCCCGCTCCCCTGCCCTCTTCCTGGCTTGTCCCCTGCTTGTCTGCCAGATCAGCCTGGGGACTGTCTCCTCCTTGCTCCCCTGGCAGGAACCAAAGGAGCAAGCCCTTTGTGGTTGCCAAGGACCCCAGCCCTTCTACCCTCCAACGGCCCTCTTTTTTTTTTTAAACATTTATTTTTATTTATTTATGCATACAAGAACTGGCCAGAGGTGTGTGGGGGTTGGTGGTGGTGAGAGGATTCACTAGAGTCAAGAGTGGGGAGCAAAACAGGCAGACTGACTGAAATACACTGCTGAGGGGAGCAGCAGTCGAGACAGGAGAGGTCTGCTGCACCATGTGGGTTAGCTCACTGGCCGGGGATTGATCTCGTGCCACAGTGGCTGGTGATAGCTTCATAGTGCTGAGACTTTAACCCCTGCACCATTAGGGTGGCCCTCCAAAGGCCTTCTTTCTGAAGAAGGGAGGCTCCTGGGCTGGGAACCTTTGGTGCTGCCCGCTCCCTCCCAGGAATCCCTGCTGTGTGCCCAGTACCTCATCCTCTTTCCCTTCACAGCTGTGACTGCACAGACTTCCTACTGCAGGAATGCAGCAAGCAGGGGCTTCTGTCTGAGGCCAGTGTGGACAACCTTATGGCCAAGCGGTAAGTGTGAGGTCACCTGGGTGGTCCACAGGATACCCTTGACTTCACTTTCTCATATCCAGGTTTAGCTCCTGGGTGCTTTTTCCCTCTAGCGTCTGGGTTGCAGGTCTGGAGTTACCAGGGACAGGAGACCCTGATTTCCCACAGCAGGATTTCATGCTCCTAGGCATCACATTTTAACTCCTACTGTCCTGTGTGATCAAAATAAAATGCCCATATTTTCCTTCAACCCTTAGTGAACTTTCAAAATAGATGTAATAGCCAATGAACGACCTTTGATTGCAGTATCAGATGCGTGTTTACAGACATCACCCCAACCCCAAGCTGTTCCCATGTGTCCCACCTCTCTGTGCCTCTGCTTCTGGGACTTCCAGGGTACATATCTGGAATTTATCTCTCTTCCTCTTCCCTGGTCTTGGCCACAGGACGGCAGACCGGGAGCATGCGCCCCAGCTGAAGTCAGGAGAGAACGCCAATATCCAGCCCAACCCCGGGCTGATCCTCCGGGCAGAGCCCACCGTCACAAACATCCTCAAGGTGAGCATGCCCTCCTTGCAGTGCTGGGGCCATCTCTTCCCTTTCTGCTCCTACTTCCAGGTAATAGAGGTCACAGTCGTCTGTCCCTGCCTCTTACATCGCTGCTTTGAGGGTACAGACAGGGAAAAGGCAAGGGCAGCTGCTGTCAGAAACTAGCATTGGCTGAGCTCACTTGTAGGCTGGGCACTGAGAGAGGCTTTTACCTAAGTCAGGGTGTGTGGAAGCAGTGGAGATCCTCACAGCGAGGACTACACTCACCCCAAGCCCACCGCTGTTGTTCCAGTTTAGTTGAAAGCCACAGAGCAGAGAGTAGGGTTAGAATCTATTCCAGATTAGAGTTAGAAAGATGCAGATTAAACAGCAGGTCGCGATATCCTACTTAACAGAGACGTGCAGGAGAAATTGTGGCTAGGCTATATCTAGGGGGGCCTTCAGTGTACTTCAGGACTTGACTTCCTGTTGTGTCCTCAGACGATGGATGCAGACCACTCCAAGTCCCCTGAGGGGCTGCTGGGGGTCCTGGGCCACATGCTGTCCGGGAAGAGCCTGGACTTGCTGCTGGCTGCCGCCGCTGCCACTGGGAAGCTTAAGTCCTTTGCCCGGAAATTCATCAAGTAAGGAAGGCTGGGGTAGAGGAAGCATGTCTGAGGAGGTAGCAGAATTGAGGTGATGTCCTGGGGCCAGCATTTTCCCAGAGAGACCCTGCTAAGGTGGAGCATCTGCTGGGGACCTTGGGGGAAGGTGGCTGTCTGGACAGAAGTGCCCTTTTCAGCTGGGATGAAGTGGGGGGGCGGTCTGATCAGTGACCAGCCCCCATCAGTGGGCATGGTGGGATTCCGTGTGTGCCCCACTTGTGGGCCTCTTAGATTCTGCTGACTTTTTTGGTTGGCCTGGAGTTTTTTGGTTGTTCCATTCAATGAGCCATTCTCTAGGTCTTGGCAATCTTTTAAAAATAGAATTCTTTTTTCTGTATTGGTGATTCACTTTAAGTTTAACCTGTAGTCCAGACTGTAGTGACCACTCTCTGAGCAGATTTAGCTACTAAGCCTGATGTTGCCCAAGTTTTGCCCTGGTTAATGCGGCCTTTTTCCCATTCCTTCTGCAGTTTGAATGAATTCACGACACACAGCAGCGGAGAAAGCAGTAAGTCTGCTCTGAGTCCCCAAGGCCTGCTTGGGACTGAAAGAGGGGTGACAGAGAGAGTACAAGGGCAGGGAAGATGCCTTTGCTCACCCTGGAGAGGCTGTTTTGTCCTATGAGCGATGACTGACTGAAGCTTTTGGGGAGCCTTGAAACCAGTTAATGTTGGGCAAAGGATTCCCTAAAACCACCCTTTGTTTTTATTCCTCCCCCTTTATGGTTTGGTTAGCTATGAGGGGAGAGGAGGGTGTCAGGAGTCGTGATTACAAGGAAGGGATGATGTTTCAATTAAGACCCAAGAAAAGGATTCTGAGCCCCAGAGCTTTGAAGGAGCCGCTTGGTCTCTGACCTTCCTTAAGGCAAATCCTGATCCCCTCCCAACTCAGATGCGGGCCCCAGGCCTCTGCCCTCGGCTGTGGCTCAGCCTCCTTATTCTTCACAGCCAAAGCAGCCTCCGTTCGAGCCTTGCTCTTTGACATCTCCTTCCTCATGCTGTGCCATGTGGCCCAGACCTATGGCTCTGAGGTGAGTGAGGAGAACAGGCGGATGCGGGGTACCAAGTGCGTAAGGCAAAGGGCAAGGACACAACCAATACCTCTCCTCCCCTGACCCCCCCATCAGTCTCCCAAGCCAGTTAGTCCTGCTGACCATCCTGGGGGAAGTCTAAAGATGTCCTCTTGGTCACAGCCCAGTCTCTCCACCCACACTGACCACTAGGTGGCAACATCGCCTTGTCTTCTTCCCTTAGACCAGTTTGTCCCCAGCTCTAGTAAAGGGAAGCAACTGAGGCAGGAAACTGAGGTGCAGGGCGTGTCTTTCCCTTCTTTTCCCAGGTGATTCTGTCCGAGTCAAGCACAGGAACAGAAGTGCCCTTCTTTGAGACCTGGATGCAAACCTGCATGCCTGAGGAAGGCAAAATCCTGAACCCTGACCATCCATGCTTCCGTCCTGACTCCACCAAAGTAGAGTCCCTAGTGGCCCTGCTCAACAACTCCTCGGAGATGAAGCTGGTGTCAGTGCCTGGGTGCCCTCACTGAGGGTGGCGGTGGGGCAGGGCCACCACACTCCCTTAGTCCATCCTCCCCTCCCCTGTGATGATTTTTCTCCCATCTGTCCCCTTGTAGGCAGATGAAGTGGCATGAGGCCTGTTTCAGCATTTCAGCAGCCATCTTGGAAATCCTCAATGCCTGGGAGAATGGGGTACTGGCCTTTGAGTCCATCCAGGTAGCCCAACTTTCCAGCCACCTTCTCTCTTCCTTGAGTCGCAGAGCTTGTCTTAAGAGACCTTGTTATATGAGACCTGTCTTTGAGACTTTGTTATACACACGTAAATATGTGTGTGTGTGTGTGTATGTATATATGTTTTAAAGATTTTTAAATTTTATTTTATGCATATAAGATCTGGGGTGCAGGCCAGAGGTGAGAGGGTAAGAGGATTCACCAGAGACAGAGTAGGGAACAGAATAGGCAGATCCACAGAAATACACTGCTGAGGGGAGCAGCAGGTAAGACAGGAGAGGTCTGCTGCGCCATGTGGGTCACCTCCCTGGCTCAGGCCGCAGTAGCTGGTGATAGTGTGATAGTGCTGAGACTTTAACCTCTGCACCACCAGGGAGGCCTGCCTGACTTTGTTATATTTTGTAAGAACAAGGAGACCCTAATCCAGGAGCTCACGTTGCTGTACATCTTCCTTGTGATTGTAGTTTTCTTAGCTAGCCCTACCCACCCACTTTGGGAAAATCAAACTTGTGGTGAAAAGAGGTGTGGACTATATCTCCACCTGTCACACACTTAGCTGCCCACAGAGGCTGGGAAAAGTGATGGCCAAAGAAGTGGTTCCAGTCACCCTCTTCCCTTCTCAGAAAATCACAGATAATATCAAGGGAAAGGTATGCAGTCTGGCTGTGTGTGCTGTGGCTTGGCTCGTAGCCCACGTGCGGATGCTGGGGCTGGATGAGCGTGAGAAGTCGCTGCAGATGATCCGCCAGCTGGCAGGGCCGCTGTATAGTGAGAACACCCTGCAGTTCTACAATGAGAGGTCAGTCACCCGTCCCCTCCCTTGTGGAACACCGTAGGTCTGTTGTGAGAAGTCAGCACTCCAGTAACCACTCTGCCCCTCTTCTCTTACCTCCCCGGACACGCTGTTCCTTTGATCACTCATTTCCTTCTTCGTGTTTTCACTCACTGACTCAGCAACATCTCGTGTGTGTCTCTGTGCCAGGAGTGTTTATAACTCTGTTACTTCCCAGAAAGACAGACCCCAGACAGCAATGGTTCCTGCCCGAAAAGGGCTCACACTCTAGAGAACTAGTTGGACAGAAGAACAAATCATAATCTTAGCTATGTCACTGTAAAGGAGCTATGAACCATCTATGCATTTCTCATGCCTTGGGCATCTCCCCACCTCCCCAACTCTCCACCTCCCACCTGGTTATTTTTGTGACATGGTACTGCCTCAGTTTTTCAGAGACTTGGAGGACTTTCCTGGCAACTTCAGCTATGTAGAATTCAGTGGTATTGGTGCATTCATCCATCCAATAAGTTTTCTTTTTAATTGTGGTTAGAAATACCTAACGTAAAGCTTACCATTGTGACCATTTTTAAGTGGACAGTACAGTAGTGTTAAATATATTCACATTGGATTGAAACAGATCTCCAGAACTTTTTCATCTTGCAAATCTGTAACACTAACCATTGAGCAACAACCCTCTTTCCCGCCACCATCCCCCCTGGCATCCCCCCACCTATGCCTCTGGTAACTACTCACTGCTTCTGTGAAGTCAACTACGAAGTCGACTACTTTGGATACCTCATATAAGTGGAATCATTCAGTGTTTGTCTTTTTATGACTTCTTTTACTTATCATCATGCTCTTGTGGTTGCATGTGACAGACGCTCTTTTTTAAAGGCTGTATAATATCCCACTGTGTATAGATCACATTTTGTTTATCCATTCATCAGTGGATGGACACTTGGGTTGCTTCCACCTCTTGCTTGTCATGAATGGGCTGCCACGACCATGGTCAGGCACCAACCAATAAGTTATGAGTGGCAACTCCCAGGGCAGGCACAGAGGATGCCTTATATTGGAGACATCTTATGTGGAGAAGTGGAAACATGGAGCTGAAATGAGGTTGGGGAGGGTCTGTAAAGTTACATCTGTTTTCCCCTTGCCTCTTCTCCTTTCTCCCCCTCTCACGTGTACCGAGGTGTTGGCTCTGCTGTACTCCATGTAAGACCCAAACTCCTATCTGGTGAGGGGTGTGGGAAATCTGTGGCTCCAGCATGCAGGTGGAAAAAGTACTCAAAGTCCTAGCAACTTTCCCCATGCCACCCGCATTCCAGGAACGGCTCACACCCAGATCCAGCTCTGAATTCACAGCTGGAGACTTCACGAGAAATTTCCTGGATATATACTTACATGTGCCCAGCTACCAAGGGCCGGGAAGACTACTGTGGGGCAGTCCTGGGCCCCTGTCCTGGAAGTAACAGTTTACTTTGGGAGGACGCCAGGGCTGGGCGGGGACCCCTGTAAGCACTCAGCCCAAAGGGAAGTGATCATATTTATTTATGCCAAAGGATTGGCAGGGCCCAGGCCTGGGGATGGGGGAAGTTGAAGTTGGAGAGAGAGTGAGAGGGATAATATAATTATATTGTCAGACTAACCTGGTGGTGGGGAGGCCCCCCAAACCAGCTTTGTGCTCAGCCAATGAGCATCCTGCCCCCAGAACCAGCAGGGTCAGTTCTGCTGGGGGACTGGAACTTCCCTGTCTCCTCCCTGAGCACAGCATAGGGTTAATTCCCCTGGAGTATTTCCGTAACCCAAGTCCTGGGAAAAGTCTGGCCTGGCTGTTTCTTCCTCTCCCCACCCTGACTCTTGAACCCATGTGTCCTGAAGCTCAGGTCCTGCCCCTCCCCACACTCCAGGGTGGTGATCATGAGCTCGATCCTGGAGCACATGTGTGCTGATGTGCTGCAGCAGACCGCCACGCAGATCAAGTTCCCATCCACGGGCGTGGACACCATGCCCTACTGGAACCTGCTGCCCCCCAAGCGACCCATCAAGGAGGTGCTGACCGATGTGTTTGCCAAGGTGCTGGAGAAGGGGTGGGTGGACAGCCGCTCCATCCACATCTTTGATACACTGCTGCACATGGGCGGCGTCTACTGGTTCTGCAACAATCTGATCAAGGTACTTGTCCGAGTCTGGCAGACTGGGGCAGGGGCAGACACAGGTTCCCTCAGAGAAAAAACCTGACAATCTAGAACCCTATCCTCTGAATTCCCATTGCCCAACAGGTCAGCGGGCTTCTCTGAGGGGCTGCTCCGACTGTGGGGGTGGGGGTGGGGGGAGCAGGTAGGGAGCTCCTAACACCATGAGACACTCTCTTGCCTCTCTGCCCCTGGACTCTGGTAGCTCTGGCCTGAGGCTGGTACAGCATAAAGATGGAGCTGCACCTCCCAGGGGGCCTGGCTGGTGGTGGGGGAGGTGTCAGCCATGTGGGTGGGCCTCCCTCCTCAGTGCCCCCGCTCTGCCCATCCAGGAGCTGCTGAAGGAGACACGCAAGGAGCACACGCTGCGGGCGGTGGAGCTGCTCTACTCCATCTTCTGTCTGGACATGCAGCAAGTGACCCTGGTCCTGCTGGGCCACATCCTGCCTGGCCTGCTCACCGACTCCTCCAAGTGGCACAGCCTCATGGACCCCCCTGGCACTGCCCTTGCCAAGTAGGACCTCACCCAGGGCCTCAAGTCACCACAGCCAAGTCGGGCGCCCTCACCAGGGCCACCCCAGGGGCCCTGGACTGTGGGGCAGCCTATGAGATGGGGCCTGATCTTGGGGGGCCCAGGAAATCCTTTGGTCTGACTTTTTCCTGTGATCCTTTGCCAGGCTTGCCGTCTGGTGTGCCTTGAGTTCCTACTCCTCTCACAAGGGACAGGCGTCCTCCCGCCAAAAGAAGAGGCACCGTGAGGATATTGAGGTAGGTACCCCTCCTGCCTTGTTCCCCAGTTTGTTCTACTTATAATTACTGAAGCTTTTCTGAGAAGGGTGCATTCCCAGGTGAAGCTAGCAGCACAGCCCCTGCTCCTGGGCAGCTGTGTGTTGGGGCTCCATTAGTGAAGCGTCTGCAGGGGTAACTGTGAGAAGGTCTCAAACCAGACGGGGGCAGGGGAGCAGAAGGGGGAAGAGGGACTGAGATGAAGAGCATCCATTCGCCCCCCTGGGATGCCAGCAGGGGCCTGTGGGGAGTCATCTCTTCACTCAGCAGGGAGTTGGGGTATTCGTGATTCTCCCACCTTCTAGGATTATATCAGCCTCTTCCCCTTGGACGACATTCAGCCCTCGAAGCTGATGCGCCTGCTGAGCTCCAATGAGGAGGACACCAACATCCTTTCGAGTCCCAGTGAGTGAGGAGGGGGCTGGGCCTGCCACTTCCTCTCCTGGGAATCGCCACTGCCTGGGCAAGCTGCCTGGCAAGGTTCCCCACCTGCGACCAGAGGGCATGGTAGGGGTTTGTCCAGTCCTGGCCCCTCCAACCTCTCTGTCCCGACCCCAGGGGTGTGGTGGGTCTCTCCCTAAGGGTTGGGGCTCTGCTTTCCAGCTCCCACCCTTGCCAGGACTTCGCTGTCCCCTCCCCGCTCCGCAGGGTTGAGGAGTGAGTGACTGCCTTGGGCACAGCCACTGACTCACCAGCTCTGGCCTTCCTTGCCTCAAACATGTCCTGAGGCCTGAAGCAGGCCCAGGCTGGGACTTGGAGCTGCTCCCCACTCTTCCCGCCTGAGGAGCACCCCTCCCCCTCTTGCCTTCCCACATGTCTTCACTGTCTGCTGTCCTCTCCTTCCTCCAGATGTCCTGCCATGGCCCCCTCTCTGCCAAGGGTTCCTGCTGTGGCATTTAGTTTTTCCGTTTCCAGAGATTTCTCCTGAATCTGGAAGTTTCTCTGAGATCTTTTAGGGACTAGGGGGTGAATTGTGCGCACACAAAGGAAAGAGACTGGGTCTGCTACCTACAGATGCTGTGATCTTTGGCTAGTGACTTAGCAAATCTGAGTCTTAGTTTCTTCGTCTGTAAGGTGGAGCTGTTGTGAGGGCCCAGCAGGTTAATTTGCAGATTGGCACATGGTTGTGCCCCCCAGATGGTAGTTTCTCTCATCTCTCACGGGGTCCCTCCCAGCTGGAACTCTGGCCCCAAGTGGTAACTCCAGGCCTGACGGGTGGGGCTTCCCGGGACACAGGCAGCCCTTTTCTCAGTGCGGCCTCCACCTGACCCCACAGCTGACCGGTCCATGAGCAGCTCCCTGTCAGCCTCCCAGCTCCACTCCGTGAACATGAGAGACCCACTGAACCGAGTCCTGGGTGAGTCCCCCTCCCGCAAAGAGCCCCCTTCATAGCAGGAGGTGGCAGAGAGTCCTCATCAGCTGGAAGGTGCCCCTCGCCCAGCTCCACCCTCCCTCTTCCCTCCATCCCCCAAGTGGCCAGCTCTCAGCCTCCCTCAGCCTCCCATTTCCCCTCCTAACTTGCCCCCAGTGTCCGCTGCCTGTCCTCTTTTTATTTTTATTGTTTTTTAAAGATTTATTTATTTATACAAGAACTGGGGTACAGGCTAGAGAGGCGGGAGGGTGAGAGGATTCACCAGAGACAGAGTGGGGAACAGAACAGGCAGATGGACCGAAAGCACTGCCGAGGGGAGCAGCGGGTGAGGCAGGAGAGGTCTGCGCCATGTGGGTATCTTCTTGGCCGGCCGGGAATCGAATCTGTGCTGCAGAGGCTGCGGACAGCTTCACAGCGCGGTGCTCAACCTGCTGCGCCACCAGGGGAGGCCCCCTTCCTCTTTTTCATAACCCCTTTTGGGTCCACTCTTTGCATGAATTTCTTTCCCCTTTTCTGTTCTACCTGCTCCTGAAGTCCAACCTCCTCTCTCATCCTTTCTCCCTTTGCGCACAGCCAACCTGTTCCTGCTCATCTCGTCTGTCCTGGGCTCGCGCACGGCCGGCCCGCACACGCAGTTCGTGCAGTGGTTCATGGAGGAGTGCGTGGGCTGCCTGGAGCAGGGCAGCCGGGGCAGCATCCTGCAGTTCATGCCCTTCACCACCGTGAGTGTCCTTCTGGTCCTCCCTGGGAGGGTTTCTCAGGGTCAGCAGCCAGCCCTAGGGGTGGGGCGGGACCTCCTTCCTCCTCAGACATGGCCCCCGCCCCTGAGGCAGTCCTGCTCCGAAAACTTGTCTGTCTGTCTGTGGCAGGTGTCGGAACTGGTAAAGGTGTCTGCCATGTCCAGCCCCAAGGTGGTTCTGGCCATCACGGACCTCAGCCTGCCCCTGGGCCGCCAGGTGGCTGCCAAGGCCATCGCAGCGCTCTGAGGGGCCTGGGGAGCTCTGTCCCTGTGCCCCACCAGGGAGCTGCAAGGAGAGATGAGGCATTACCACTCACATCCATAGGATGTAGGAGCCCTTTGCTGGCTTCCAGATCTTTCCCCTGCTACTGACTTCTGACCTCTAAGGTCTCCCAGTTCCTTTCTGGCATAATTTCCTCACCTGGCTGAAGCAGCCAGGCTCCTCAGCCCTGGGTGGTCGCCCCACACCACTGCGTTCTGGTGCTGTGACCCCCCTTCGGAGAGTAGATTACCTCTGAGGAACTGTCAGCGCGCAGAGTATGTATGTATTTATTTTTTTGTAATACATAAGGGAAGTTCACCTCAGCTCATTTATAAATAAAGACACTGTGGACCCCTTTGTGAGGCTAAGTACTGTCGCTGCCTAGGTCTGGTTGGAGCAGGAACAGTGTCTTCTGGAACCCCGTGTGCCGGGAGCTGCGATGTGGTTGAGGGGGAGGGTGGACCCCAGCAGGTCAGTCCCACCTGGCTGCCCACCCACGTCCCAGAGTCAGCTTGCTCTGAAAAGGGATTTTACTGAGCACCCCCTGGTGCTGGGGGTGGGCTCCCCAACCGGCCCAGCCCCGCCCTGAGCCTGACTTACCCCGAGTCTGGCCTGTCCTCTCCAGGAAGGGACGGGCTGTGCAGGGTGAGGACTCTGCCTCCCCTGCCCCATGCATCCAGGGACCCTGTTCTCCAGAACCCACTGGAAGAGAAGGACCCTGAGCCCCACAGCTGTGGCCAGAGATTCTGGGCCTGCCCAGACAGACCCTGCTTTCTAAGGAGCCAGGTGGGGAAGGGAAGTGAGTTGACAAGAGCCTTGGGAGAGGGACTGCCCAGGCTGGTGAGTCTCCCCAGGCTGGTAAGCTTCCTGGAACCACATGCCAAGGGCTCCTCCCAGCCCCCAGACCAACACTGAAGCCTGAAGCCGCTGCTCCCCTCTCCACTTCTCCCCCCATGCCCCGCCCCATGTGAGCCCAGGCCTCCAGCCCGCAAGCTGAGGGCAGCTGGAGAGGGGCATGCTGGCCAGAGATTAGAGACTGTGCTTGGTGAGGGTGGGGGTGCAGAGCCTGGAACTGAGTTCTGGTCCGAGTTGTCACTTGAACTGGAATCTGCAACAGGCACTTCATGGCTCAGTCCTGGTGGGCAGCTGTCTATGGCGATGGCAACCCGGCCAGCCCTGTGCAGATGTTAAATGCCGCCTTGCTTGGGGCTGTCGACATCTGGCCTGCCGGGGCTGCTGCATCAGCCATATGCTCTTGCCCCTCCCGCCACCAGGGACCCATCTGCTTCTGACAGCCCACCAGGCCCAGGCCCCTTTCATGAGCTCAAGGACCCCTGCCTGGGTCTCCGATGTGTCCCTAGCACTTAGCGCCAAAGGGATGAGCCAGGGGCTGCCCCCTCCCTCCCCTCCCCTCTTGTCCTTCTCTCTGGTCTCGCCCACCATTCAACTCCTGCCCCCCCCCCCATCCTGGTCAGGCTTCAGCTGGAATCAAGGAGGAAGACATTTACTGGAAACAAATACTTTATTATCAGAACATTTGGCTGCAGTGAGAAAGTGGGAAAGCAGAGGCGGAAAGTGAACACTTGAGCTTCCCTCTCACACTCCCCATCGTGTAATCCCCCCATCTTTTCCCGCCCTCATTCCCCATCCCCAGCCAGCAAGGCAGATGCATGCCCTCCCCCAAGCCTGGGTGAGTCCCAGCCAGACTCCACTTTGGGGGCATGTCGGGTGTCCCGAGCCCCTGCTGTCCCGACAGGGCAGCTAGAAAGTGAAGACACATTGGTGATTACTGGGCTCCCCATGTAGGGAATCAAAATATACCCGAAAACAATAGAAAAAAAAAAAACAAACTAGATTTCCCAGCCAGTTCCTGGGACCCCAGGGTCGACTCTCCCAGCCCTAGTTCCTCCCCTGGGCTTCAGCGCCCCGCATGGAAGCGGGTGTGCGGGGAGCAAAGCCAGCCACGGGTGGAGGCCCGGAGCAGGGGCGCGGGACCCGGTGGGGGAACACTGCTGTTTAAATATTAAACAGATGTCTTGTCTCCCACGTGGGAGACCTGTGCTTCCAGGGGCCTGGGGTGGGTAGCCCGGGGCTGGGGTTCACTGCAGCTCTCCCGGTACCCACCGTGGAACCAGCCAGGGAGCAGACACAGGACTTAATACTTGGTATTTACTTAGCGGCCTCCCAGTCGGGCGACAGGAGGACAGGAGTTTTTCCTTGCTACAGGCAGGAGAACGAAACTTAGGGGCAGAGGGAAGGACCCAGGAGTTGAGACTCTTTTGAGCTCTTCCCTGTCTTTAAATATTAAGTTTAAATAAGCATAAATATTAAATAGAGATAAATACACTGGGTGGGGAGGGCTTTGCTCAGGGCCCAGTGAAGTAGCGCAGAACCCGGTAGGCCCGCTCCAGGAAGCTCTGCAGGTTGGAAGCAACCAGAACACCTCCTGCCCGACGTTGGAAGGCAGAGGTGAAGGCTGGCATGGTGCCCTGGGTGGGCTGCACAGCAGGGGCCACCCCCAGGTCTTCCATCTGTGGGGGAAAGACAAGGTCAGCAATCAGGCCCCGCCCAGAGGGTGTTACTATACCCGAGACCACCCACAGAAGCTCGCACAGGTCACGGTGGTGCCAGGACTTGAGCCCAGGTCTGTTCAAGGTCCAGTGACGGGCTCCTGCCCTCATCTAGGGGGCATGGAGCAGGGCCGCAGCATGGGGTTCCTGGTATGTGATGGCAGCTCCCTACACACAGCCCCCCATACCACTGGGAATGGTAAAGAATTTCTGGGATTCCCCAGACTTGCAGCACTGCCTTTGGGGTTCTGCTCTGTGTAGGCCCCTGACAATGGCCACTCCCGACGAGGCTCACCTGCTGCCAAATGTTGGTGGTAAAGTCCTTGACATCCAGCTGCAGCAGGTCCACGGTGGAGGCCAGCTCAGAGGAGACCCCTGCCAAGGCCTGTAGGAGGCCCTGGTAGAGGAAGAGCCCGCTGTGCAGTTGGCCCAGGCAGCTTGTCTGGGGAGGCAGGACAGAGAGTTAGGGGCTGTTGCTTGTACGCTCCTCAGGCCCCTGGGTTGGAGCCTGGAGATCTAGGGAAACTTCCAGATCATCCTTTCCTCCCTGCCCTTCCCAGTGCCCCTCGACACTCGGCACTCACCAGTTGTAGGTCTTTGCTGGAGCAGCTGCTTAGGCGAGCCTGGGGGATGCCCAGAGAGTGCCCAAGCAGCACCAGCTCCTCCGGGTGGCACAGCTTGTAGGTAGCACACTGGGGATGGGATGGGTGCAGAGTGAGGGTTGGCCAGCTGCTCGTCCTCCATGGGTCCTCCCCACCCCTCAGAGGTCTTCCTCTCCCTCCTCCCCATGCCAGGCTTCTCAGCCCCATCCTGCCCTCCCCTTCCAGCCCAGCTGCTCAGCACTGTCCTTGAGCAGCCTCTTTCCGTTCCCTCCCAGCCTCCCACCTCTCCTGATTTCCTTCCACTTCCCCGCATGTCTCTCCTCCCCTCCCATATCCCTTCCTGAAGGGCCTTCCCCACCCTTCCCTGGCCTCCCTGAGCTCTTACCCCCTTCTCTGTCTCCCTCAGTTCAGCCCCCCTCCTGCACGCCTCTGTCCCTGTCTCCACTCACCAGCTTTTCCTGAAGCTCCGTGCCATCCGCCTGGATCTTCCTCACTTGTTCCAAGCACTTGAGCAGGAAGCTTTGGGGCAGGTTGTGGGCAGGACCCAGAGGGGTGGCTTCTCCTGTCATCCAGAGCATGCTGTGCCACAGCAGCATCTGCAGGGCTGGGAGCAGAGAGGGGCTTAGGGGACAGGCTGTCCACGTCCACCTGGGCGCCCCAGTTCCCTGTCACTCCAGCCTCTCTCCCCTGCCCTGGCAGGCAGCTTGCCCACACGGGGCCAGGACACTCACCCGTCAGCTTCATGGGGTCCGGGGCAGCAGGCTAAGCCGAGGGGCTGGGTGGCTCTGGACAGCAGGCTCAGGGCTCTGTCAGGGATCAGTTCCACAGACCTTTATACATCACCCCAGGAGGCCCGGGAGGAAATTACCTGGTGCTGAGACTAAGGCTTAGTAATGAATTTCCAGGATGATTTATGCAAATTTAGTATCCAGGGCAATGCAGGGGGGCTGGGGTGAAAATCTGTTTGCGAAAGCTTTGTGAAATTGTGGAATCTCTGATCCTTCTTTGACGTCTTGAAGGTCTCTTCAACCTCCCTTCCTCCCCCTCGGCCCCACCCAGGCTCGACTTGCCCAAGGGTGTTTGAACAGAACCTCTGGCTTCTGACAGACGTCTTGGAGGCAAACTCAGCTCCACTTACCTGGTGAGAGGCCAGCCTCCCAGGCCCCCCCCAGGCAGATCTGTGGGTACAGCCCCCCTTGCCACTCTCCCTTGGGTTTTTCAAGCCACCTGCTCCCTAGACCTCCAAAACCGGAGAGGGAAGAAGCTTGTTCCTTCCTACCCCCAGCTCCCAGGAGGTTGACTTCAGGGTCCCCTGCAAGAGGCCAGGGCCCTGAGAGAGGGATGTTGGGGTCTTACTCACACTTTGATAGGCATCATCCCAAGTTTCAGGCCTTCCTGTCCTGAGTTGGCTAGCTGGGAACTCCCCAATTGCCCCCTCTGACTCATTCCTTTAAGCCCCCGGAATCCTGGCAGAGACCAGAGGAAACGGATGTCTGAATGAAGCAAGGATCTTGGAGGCTTCTTCTTCTCACCTTGCCCTCCCCTTCCTCCTGCAACGCCCCTCCCCACTGCACTGCCCAGCACTTTGGGCCAACCCGGTGGACTCTCTGAGGGGGTCCAGGTCATGGGTAAGGGAGTCAGTTGCAACCGCTCGGGGCCTGAGAGTGCTCCACAACCATGGGGCCGTCCAGGGCAGCCTGACCGGTGCGAAGTGACCTATGCGAAGTAACCCAAGGCTGTCACTCTGTCCCAGTTACCCCACAACGTGTCTGGGTACAGAGCCGCTCTGGGATGAAGAAGGGTGTGCCTGTCTGTGCAAGACCATTTCTGGGCCTGGGATGCCCCCTGGTGGTCACAACTGGTATGGATGCCTTCCAGCCCTGGTCCACCCTGCCTGGTGGCAGTCTTGGCAGTTGGCTGATTGACACCCCCCCACCCCCGCCGCCCCCGCCCGTGCCCAGCTCCACTGGAGTAGAAGCTGGGGTTCAACAGAACTGTGGCTGGAAGGAGATTCACATTTGCAAACGTCCCTGCCCTTCCTGCAGAGGACTCTGCTTGCCCAGACTAAGTGGCAGGTGCTCCATACTCCCAGTGCCTTCCCTTCCATAGGCTTATGAGGAAAGCACTAGAAGCACTTCCCCTTTTACAGCAGATGAATCTGACCTCAGGGAGTTAAGTAACTTGCCCATGGGGCAGAACTGAGATCTTAAATGTTTAACCACCAAATCTCTTAACCAAGGTTGGCCTTCCTCGCCCATGACCAGACAGGCCCAGTTTAAACCAGACTTTAAACTTGTTTTCGCCAGGAGGCCTGGATGTCAGAGGTTTGGGCAGTCCTAGCAAGGGTGGCCACATGGTGAAAAGACCCAGGAGTGTGACTTGAAGTACACTGACTGTTCACCTGTGGAAGAGGAGGAGGGGCTTGTGAGGTCTCCAGGGCTAGAAGTGGGACAGGGAGTGGGAGCCACAGACAGTGCTTCAGTGTGACAGAAGCAAAGTGCTTCCTGATGGCCAGAGGTTTGGAAGGTGTGAGCTGCTTCTGGAAGTGGGTCTCCCGTCTCAGGAGTGTCCTGGCACCCATCCCACAGTTTTTCTCAGGGAGAAAAACTGAATGTTGGTTGGCAATTATTATTTAAAAAAGACTTATTTTTATTTATGCATACAAGATCTGGGGTCTAGGCCAGAGGTGCTGTGGTGGAGCAAGAAGATTCACAAGAGACAGAGTGGGGAGCAGAACAGGAGGATCTACTGAAATACACTGCTGTGAGGGGAGTGATAGGAGAGGTCTGGCTGGGGATCGAACTTGTGCTGCAGTGGCTGCTGATAGCTTGATAGCACTGAGACTTTAAACCCTGTGCTACCAGGGAGGCCCAAGTTGGCAATTATTGGGTGCCTCTTATATCATATCAGGTGCCCTGCACACTGTGTCATTTTGTCTTATCAATCAAGCAGGAGAGTGTGGTTTCTTCCTGTCAACGACGGGGAGGGCCTGGCCTAAGACCACCGAACTGGTGGGAGGGGAGCCAGGTTGGACTTGCAGTCGGGCGGGCTTCCCAAGCCCCTTCGCTTCCATTACACTACCTTCCTGTTCAGAGAGCTGGACTTCTCAAGTAATGGCTCTGCCAGGACTTTGGTCCCTCTGCAGCGGAGACCAGGTAGAAAGCATGTGTGGCAGCCACTGTGGCACGGCCGGCTGAGCTGGGGCAGAAGGACCTTCTGGCAGAGGGCCTGGCTCCAGAGCTCTTGTTGCTCCTCCGTGCAGCTTCCTAAAGGCTCCCCAGATATTTCTTCATGGCCAGGACTGGTGGGCAGCTCCCCCGACACTTCCTGTTTTCATCTGGTACTGGCTTGGAACATCTCTTGGTAACTCATTTGCTGCAGCCTTGGCCTGTGGGCCAAGATATATGCACTGAGCTAAGAATGGGTTTTACAGTTTTACATGGTTGGAAAAGAATCAAAAGATTATTTCATAACATGTCAAAATCATAGGAAGTTCAAACGACAGTGTTCATAATTTGTTTACATATTTTTGATAGTTGCTTTCATTTTAGAAGGGCAGGAGAGACTTAGCTGTGACAGACTGTGAAGCTCACAAGCCTAAACAGTGTGATCTCCGGTCCTTGAGGAGAAAATGTGCCAACTGGGCCAGAGCACATGTGTAGGGGAGACGCAGACCCTTCTGCAGTGCATTTGCTCATGCAAGCCCACGTCCGGCAGCTGGGGAACGGCTAGAGTTAACCCAGCATGGACACTCCACCAGGAAAGGAGCGTATCCGCGAGTTACATCCATGTGCTACATCAGTTACGAAGATTTAAAGACTCAAAACCATACCGTATTTGGTAGTAACAGTATGAAAAGATAAGCTGTAAGGCTGCCCGAGGGTTTCATCAGTGACTGACCACCTCAGGGGAGGCGGAGAAGGAACAGGATGAACTTCTGACTTAGCTGTGATTGAGCTTGACGGGACGAAGGGTGAACATGGTTAAACCTGAGTGGAAAGTGCATGGCTGTTTGTTATGCTATTCTTTTTTTTTTTTTTAAGATTATTTATTTATGCATACAAGAGCTGGGGTGCAGGTCAGAGGTGTGGGGGGTGAGAAGATTCACCAGAGCAGGGAACAGAACAAGCGGAATGACTGGAAATACACTGCTGAGGGGAGCAGCGGGCGAGTCAGGAGAGGTCTGCTGTGCCATGTGGGTAGCTCCCTGGTTGGGGATTGAACTCGTGCTGCAGTGGCTGTGGACAGCTTCATAGGTTGCATCTTAACTCCTTGTGCCACCAGGGAGGCCCTGTTATGCTATTCTTTATACTTCTCTGTAGTTTTCAAATTAAAAAAATAACACAGAAGGTGGGAACACAGTGAACTCTCTCAGCATAAAAGTGACATTCAGATTCTCCAAGGAAAAGCGAGCCCAGCTCTCGGGGATGAGTTGCAAGAAACGCCCGATGACCAAGAGCCAGGAGGAGGGTGAGCAGCAGGAAATCATGGTACGTGACCCTCAACCTTCCATTGAGGGTGATACTCTCCTGGGCCCCACCAGCTGAGAGGCGCTCTGGCAGGGTGCAAGGGAGGCTGGGCATCGTTGGGGAGAGCGCTAATTATGAGGTATGTTTACAGGTTAGGTCCCTGCTCTCCCTGTACCTCTCCTCACATGCTCAACAAACATCTCCCACAAAGTCACCTTTTAGTCTCATCACAAAGAGGGGGGACAGGAGCAGGAAGCGGGCAACAGGCCCACAGCAAGGCCAGCGTCAAACATCTTTACTGGGAATAGGAAGATGTGTGAAGGGGTGTGAAGATTCGCAGGGCCCACCTTCCTGAGAAGCAAGACTATGTCCGACCCAGTGGCAGGTACGGGCCAAGGCCCGGGAAGGGGAGGCCCCATGCTGAGAACTTAGAAACTAGTTGGAAACTAGGCTTTTGGACCAGTGACCTCCAGAGAAGGGGACAGAAAGCAGGGGCTCACTGCCCATGAGGCATGGGGCCTGGCAGACCTGTGGAAATGAGTGTGGTGGGACAGCAGACGGCAGAGGCTGAAGCCACTGCCAGGGCTGCTCAGATGAGTCCTTGGGACAGAGCAAGCTGGCAGCAGGGCCTCCGCGGCCAGCCCAAGAACAGGTTATAACCCCAGTGACTGGCATGGGCTGGGAGACCAGGCCCGGGCAGGTGCACTTTCCCACCCACACCGCTGGAGCAGGGCGAGGGTGGCCACAGGGGACCTGACTCACCAGCCCCCAGCGACTAGTGGACAAGGCCTTCTCAAGCTGCTGTGGCGCCTCTGAGTCCCTTCTCTGCTCCATGACCTCACTCTTCCTTGATCCCCCAGAAACCTAGATTCCTAACCTCAGAGCCAGGAGGTCCCAGAGTCTAAGCCTTCACTTCAAATGTGGAAAGGGATCCTGAGAGGTGCCGTGATTTGCCCAGAATCTGAGCCAGTCCACCAGGAAATGGGGTTCCTCCATCCTGTACACAGCTTCCTCTTCATCCCCCGCTATCTTGGGTTCTCTAATGGCCAGGACTAGTACCCCAAGATCAGGAAAAAACCTGGGCCTGTCAATACTGTGATGAGAGCCGAGCACAGTAATGAACGGATGCACGAAGAGTTCTGGAGAACTTTTTATTGTTTAAAAATCATAATTGAAGCTTCAAAAAACATACAACCCAATGCATGTCCCAAGTCCAGCCCCTGCTCCCGGGAGGAGAGTGTAGTGCTGCCCACACTGTCAGCCAGGACCCTGCCCTGGGGGCTCCTGCCCGCCTACTGCCCGCTCTGTGCTGGGTCACACGGCTGGGGAGGGGCCCTGGCGTGAGGTGGGGGTGGCCGGCTCCCTGCACCCCTCACCCTCTGCACATATGCAGTCTGCGAGTGTGTGTGGGAAAAGGGCCCCCTGGAGAGGGGACCCCCCGGGGAAAAGGTGAAGATCCAGTCCCCATTCACCCCGCCCCTCCCCAGCCCTCCGGGTTCAAGGGAAGCTGTCGTCGTCATCTTCCGCCATCTCCTTGGCAAACTCCAGGTCCTGCTGCTCTCGCTCACGCCGCTCCTGGGGGAAGGGAGGGCGAGGGCTGGGCGCTCCCTCAGAGGCTCACCCACCAGGCTCACCCCAAGGTGAGGGACTGCTAGAGTGCCAGAGCTACTCCCCCAGTCTTCCAGAAACCGCCCTCTCCCCTGGCAGCCTTGCCGGAAGCGGGAGGCGGCTTACCTCTGCAGACTCCAAGTCCTTGTTGTAGGATTTGGGAGGAAACCGCATGGCCTGAAGCACAGGAGAGAGCAGACATGAGGCGCGGCCCTGGCTTAGCCCTGGCTTAGCCCACACTCGCTGCACTGCTTCTGCGCACCAAGGACTAAGACAGGTCAGTCCCTCCCAGCTTAGTCCAGCGGGGAGCCAGACGTGGAGACTGTTACAGTGCCAGGTGGAAAGTGCAGGAAAAAGAATTAGGAGAATCTAGAGGTACAAATGACTAACCCTCTGGACTGGGCAGGGAGGAGAGGAAAGGATTAGTGGAGGGAAGGGCGCGCCCCGGCGGGAGCTGCCTGTGGGAAGAGGCTGGCTGAGTTCAGGGGAGCCAGCTGTGGCGGGAGGGGCCGAGGAGAAAAGGGTGAGGGGCAGTAGCGGGGGGACCAGATGATACAGGGTACTCAAGTTTCCCGAGGTGCATGGCACTTGCCAGCTTTTAAGCAAGGCAGCAATTATCCCTGGTTGCCTGGGAGGAGACCGGAAGAAAATACAGTCACCGAACAGCAACAGCATCTAAGGCAGTGGCTGACACAGGGAAGGACTTAACAGCCTCTGGAGGTGCCCCTGCCGAGGTTGCCTAATCTCATCAGCCCCGAGGAGGGTGGGTCATTCCTCATTATCAGCCCCACAGGCGGAGAAAGAGGCTCAGAGTAGGAGAGTGACTCAAATTGGCCCCCCCCACCTCCTCCTGTCCCTTATAGTCCCTAAATGACTCAAATTTGGAGCCAAATCTAGAAACCAATGCCCTGAATCCCTGTCTGGTCCTCCTTGGTGCCCAACTCCTTAAAAACAATAGATGTGACAGGCCCATAAGCCCCCCTGGCTGCCCGCCTGCTACCCAGTGACCTGGAGATGCACTGGGAAGTGGCCACCAACTGAACAGATCTCCGAGGACTTCCGGGATGTGGAGGGTGGATTGGGCCGCTGCCCGGCCAGGGCTTCTCACCTTGACAGACATGTTGTGGATGTCCAGGCAGAAGGAGATGCGCTGGTGGAAGGCAAGCTGGGGCTCTCGGGTGGAATAGATATCGATCATCTCCTTGGACTGGACGTAGCCCTTCTCGTGGTTGATACTGGCTTCAATGACGCCATCCCGGATGGCCTGCAGGCCCCCACAGGGAGGAAAAATCACCAGACAGCCCATTTTCCAAGCCCTCACCATCGGATACATCCCTTTGTACTCCCACGCTCTCTAGCAACTTCCTGGGTCACTGTTGGCACAGTGAGTGGGCCCAACCTCCTCCCAGCCCACCCCGGAACCACGTCCTGCATCAGCCCCACCTTGGCAACAATGAACTCTGCATCCTCCGGGCTATCCAGCTGCAGCTTCTGGGCGATGTCGGCCAGGGAGATTCGGGAATAGGACAGGCTGATCATGCGCACACCTGGGAGAGGAAGGTGGGGTCGGTGGGCACAGGCCCCACACCTTTCCTCAGACACCCCAGAGAGGCTGCCCAGACCCTGGCCCATACCTGTTTTAATGACATTGTGCCGCAGTCGGATGATTAGGGTGTAGGTCCCATCTGCTTGGAACTTCTCCCCAAACTGATCCAGGACCTGGTTGAACTTGGCGAGGTTTCCTGTCCTGACAGCTGCAGAGGAGGAGAGGATAAGACAAGGCAAATGGTCATAACATCAAAGAGGCCATGGTGCCCAGGAGCCTGGCAAGCTCCGGGAGGGGACTGGCCTTCCTTACCTTGGGTCAGAAGGAAGTAGGGCATGAGCGAGCGCTTGAGGGATGGCTGGCGGAACTGCAGCCGGTCGGGGATCTCCCCCAGCAGCAGCTCCACCACGATGAGCAGCTTGTGCACCTAGCAGGGCGAGACACAGGGAGGCAATGGGCAGGGAGCCCCACCGGGCAGAGGAAGCAGATGAAATGGGGCTTTAAGTCAGTCACACACATAGAGAAGTGGGGAAAGATGGCACCATGATCAGGCTCAAGCTGAGCCCCTGTGCTGAACGTGGACGCGGATCTCTGCTCACGGCACAGGGACAGGGAATATCTGAGCTGGCCCACCCTAGCACCAGGCTCACCGCCCTGGCCGCCAGTGTGCACCACGCTGAAAGGGCAAAGCGCAAAACAGGCCAGATGGGCAGGTTGTGGCTCAGAAATGGTGGAGGGAGCAGGGCCCAGAGGCCTAGGAATGGAAGTGAATGAGCCAAAGACGCTGGTGAGGGAGGCTGCTGTCCCTGGGGGACAGGCAGTGAATAACGCACAGAACGAACTGTTTGGGTAGAGGCAGGAGCACAGGAAAGGCAGAAGCTCAGTGAATGAGCAGAGAGCATGAAGGGAGAAGGCTGGCTGGAGAAACGGGCCCTCCCTCCTCCAAAAAATGTGAGGTATTCTGGAAAGTGCCTACTGTGGAGTTAAGACCGTGCAGGAACACTACAGGGGAGGGGACGATGCCTACCAATGAAGATGCTCCCTGCCAAGCAGGAGGGTGGCATGTGATCATGCTGCAGCTGGGCAAGGTCTCTTCACCTCTCTGTATACACCCACAAGGCCACCCTCTCCCTGGAGTGATCCGCGAGTGAGGGAAACCCATGGAAATGGAGAAGTTAGTATGAGCCTTAAGGATTCTGATGAAGCAAAAGGCGATGACAGAATGTTTCAGTCATGCAAACAGGGTAGAAAAGAGGCAGGCCAGTGTGAGGACACACTCCATATGTGGGGGGCTGTCAGGAGAGGTGGGGGAGTCAGTCTGGGGATGTGCTGTTTTGAGTGCCAGGCTATGAGGTCCAGTCTCATCACTAGGGAGGAATCAATGAGCAACTGGATCTTTGGTTTGCTCAGCCCCAAATGGGCAGGGTAACAATACCTGACTGCCTGTCTACCTCACAAGACTTGCGAGCCTCCACTGGGCAAGCAGTGCCAGCTTCTGGGCAAGGCAACGATGGGCCCAGAGTCGGCTTTATGAAGCAACATATGGGAGCCAGACTGGTGGTGAGGGTGACCAGAAACACCAGTGTCTCCTACAGGGGAACTGGCCACATCAGATAGGAGGCAAGGACAGAAGACGCAGGGCAAGTCCGCTGACTTCTGTTGGGAAGGAGGGTGGGGACAAGAGTCCGAGGCTCCTGTCTGGGTCAGGAGAGCGGGAGGATGGGTCAGGGAGGCCCAGAAGGTTGGCTCTGGTTAAGTTTGAGTGTGAGGAGCCAGGGAGTTTCTGTAGAGAGATGTGAGGTGGGAAGTTGGATTTGTAGGTCGAGAGCTCATGAGAGGGGTCAGATCTAGTATTATGGGCTGAACTGTGAACCCCCAAAATCACACATTGAAGACCTAAGCCCCAATGGTAGAATGTGACTGTATTTGGCCACAGGAGCTTTAAAGAGGTGATGAAGGTGGAAGGAGCTCACATCCATAGACCCCAATCCAGTCTGGCCAGCATCTTTATGAAAAAAAGACTCCAGGACACTAGAGGGCAGACCACCGAAGATACCAGAAGACAAGTTATCTATGAGCAAGAGAGGCCCTAGAAGAAAGTGCCTGGGCTGACTTCCTGATCTGGGACGTCCAGCCTCCAAAACTGTGACGTAACATATCTGTGATGGTTAAGCTACCAAGTCTGTGGTAACTTGTTAAGGCAGTCAGAGCTGAGACTGTAGTAATGGACAGTCAGCAATGGATTTTGGTGAAACATCATGGAGAACGAAGCTAGGAAAGCAAATGAAATCTCAAAGGAGAGAACGTGGCTCTTACTACAGACCGTTAAGCTTTTATAGTGTTCTGCTGTGGTTTCCATTTCAAATGATGTCTTTCTTGATCCTTTCTTACCTTCCCTCTGCTACTTAAAGCTGGCTTCTCATGCTTTTTTTTTTTTTTAAAAAAAGATGTATTATTTATGCATATAAGAACTGGGGTGTAGGCCAGAAGTATGGGGGGGGGGGGTGAGAGGACTCACCAGAGACAGAGTGGGGAGCAAAACAGGCAGATCCATTGAAATACACTGCTGAGGGGAGCAGCGCATGAGACAGGAGGTCAGCTGTGCCATGTGGGTTAGCTCTCTGGCTGGGGGTCGAACTCACGTGATGCCACAGTGGCTGGTGATAGCTTGATAGCTGAGACTTAACCCCTATGCCACCAGGGAGGCCCCCTCTATCTGTGCTCTTTATCCCAGTCTTTTCCAGCTCTTCTGGGCCACCTCACCAACAAAGTATGGACTTGAGCCCGCACTCCAGCTCTCTCCATTCTTTCCTGCCACCTGGCTCTGCCACAGAAAACTCTGAAATCTTATCCATCCTCAGTAAAATCTTGTTTGAAAATACTTTTTTAAAAAAAAGATTTATTTATTTATGCATACAAGAGTTAGGGTACAGGCCAGAAGCGCGGAGGTGAGAGGACTCACTAGAGACAGAGCAGGGAGCAGAATAGGCAGATCTACTAAAATACACTGCTGAAGGGCGCAGTGGGTGAGACAGGAGAGGTCTGTTGCACCATGTGGGTCAGCTCCTTGGCTGGGGATTGAACTCATGTTGCAGTGGCTGCCGACAGCTTCACAGTGCTGAGTCTTAACCCCTTGTGCCACAAGGGAGGCCCTTTTTAGTGACTTTTAAAAGGAATTTTGTAGTGTCTTAGGTTGTAAGGAATCTGGCATTCTGCTCACATTTCCTGTGTATCTGAAAAGCTGTTCCTTTCTGTGAAAATTCTGCCCATTCAGAAACCAGATAAAATTTAACTTTTTCTTTAAGATTCCTTTAATTATTTGACCACAACCAAACCTGTCTTTCTCTAAATTTTAAAACAAACCAAATCTCCCATGACACTGACCTAATCATTGCATATTTTTATCCTGTTCTGTCAAGGGCACCAGGAGGTAGATGTTTGTGTTAAGGTGGAAGCAGAGGTCTGCAATTGGGAAAGGTGGGTCCAAATTCTGGCTACTGTGGTGACTTTACACAGGCCACAAGAACACTCATCTTCCTGGCAAACACCGCTTTTTTCATCCCTCACTGTGCCTAATACCAAAGTCAGCACTTAAAATACTGGGTGACTGACAGCTCTTAGGTGGCTATGGTTTAGTTCCACTGAAGTCAGTCAGTTTATGGAGATTTACAGAGAACTATGCTCCCAAATGGGCATGTGAGGGATGAGGTAAGAGCCTGGGATTTATCAACACAATCCAGGCCCATACCTAGAACGACTGTGAGGTGTGCTAGGAAATCTGGAATCTTCTAAATCTACCTACCAAGAAGAATACTTTGACCATAAGCTGTCAGGGGTGCAGGTAGTGTCTGCAAACACTGCTCTAACAAGGGAGCAGAGAGCTGTCTGCTGCCACCTTCTGGAAAATGATGGCTAAGAAAGCCCTCTTTGGCCCCTCTTACAGGGAAATAGCCATGCTGGTCACAGGAGATGGGATGAGACCTCTTGAGAGCTCACCGTTTGTTTGAAGCCCACAGCCGTGTGCTGAGGGGCCTTGCGGAGGGCGTTGGTCATTGTCCTCCGGGCCTCTGAGTATTCCAGCTGGATGGCTTTGATTCGCCCTGTGTGTGGGGAAAGAGGAGAGGGAGTCAAGAGAATGGCTTCATCCAAACCCCCTTTGCAAAACAGAGTGTCAACTGGACACCACTTAAGCACCAAATTTTTAGGAAATCTGCAGCAAGTGAGCCTAAGTCAACGTCTGACTCGGGGGGTGGGCTCCTGCTCACCTGTGTAGTAGAGGTACCTTGCCCATTCATTGTTGTTGGCCTGCTCAGGGAACACGGACTTGGACACCAGCTTCTCGGCCTGGTCATACAAGCTGTAGTGCAGGTAGTTCCGCAGCAGCAGGTTCAGCAGGGTGGCCTGGCCGTCCGCGTCATGCCGAAGGGTGGCTGTCCGGAGCCGAGCATGCAAGAAGCTTCAAGGAAAGAAGAAAGATGTCAAAGGCCTCAACCTGCAACTCTCTCTCTCTCAATTCCTAAAAAAGTGATATAAGTGGCTCTTCTAGTCATTCACTGAGTATCCAGGATCTACTTCTTGAATCACAAAGAGGACAAAGCTCTGCACTCAGGAAACCTGTTCATGTTCTAGTGGGGGAGGCAGGCACCAATTATGATAAATACATCATGAGACATGACAGACAGAGGTAGGGGCTCCGGGGAAAGTGGGTGAGTGCGATGGGAATCGAGGATGAGAGGACAGGGGTGAGTGGTCAGGACAGGATTCACTGAGAAGGAACACTCGAGCAAAGTTTTGAAGGAGGGAGGGAGAAAAGCGTCCTCAGCAGAGGGAAAAGGTGGTACAGAGACTGAGGAGTGTGCCTGGCACCCCAAGGAAGAGCACGGATGTCAGTGTGGCTGTGGAGTGAGTCAGGGAACAGCAGGAGATAAAGTCAAGGAGGCAGTAACAAGAGCTGATCATGGTGGACCTTACAAGCTATCTTAAGGACTCTGGCTTTTAAGCAAAGGGATATTAAAAAAAAAGTTTTCCAGACTGTTCTACTCCTGACCCACTAAGCAGTCCTGCCTTGATGTGGGGTGAGGGGAAGAGCCTGGGGGACAGGTCTTACCCACCCGGTGGTATCGCCATTTCTTCACCTACCATCAGCCACTCTCTCAACCTCTCATGTGGTCTAGGGCACAGTAACCATTTCCCTCATTTCCTCCTGGGGGTCCCATACCTACAAGCTCATGACTCTGTGCAAGCACTCAAGTCTGGGGACGTGACTGACCATGTCTGTCTCTGACCCCGAGGGTCACCCATACCTGCGCACCACATCCAGCTTGTCCAGGAACTCGTAGACCCGGGCGTGGTAATAGTAACACTTCGCGGCCACAAGGTCCAGGGCCCGGCGATTCTGAGTGCTGATCTTCTGCATCAGGTCGTCAGAGACCTTCTGTGCCTGGGCAGGCAGACAAGAGAATCAAGTGGCAGCTTCCCAAAGAGTTAAACATAAGAGCCAGCAATTTTCCTCCTAGGTGTGTATCTGAGAGAATTGAAAACCCGTTCACATAAAAACTTGTACACAAACATTCATAGCACCATTATCCATAATAACCCCCAAATGGAAACTACCCCAGTGTCCATCACCTGATGAACAGCACAAAATGTGGTTGACTTGTACAATGGAGCATTAGTCATCCATTAAGGAAGTAGAGAACTGGGCCTCCCTGGTGGCTTAGGGGTTAAGTCTCAGCTCTACCAATGAGAAGGCCCACTGCAACGGCCTGAGTTCAACCCCCAGCAAGGGAGCTAACCCTCATATGGCGCAGCAGACCTCTCCTGTCTCACCTGTTGCTCCCCCTAGCAGTGTATTTCAGTAGATCTGCCTGTTCTGCTCCCTACTCTGTCTCTGGTGAATCCTCTCACCCCCACATCTCTGACATGCACCCCAGCTCTTGTATGCATCAATAAAAATAAATCTTACAAGGAAATAGAAAACTGATAATGCTACACACCAATAAACCTCAAACAAGGTATACTAAATAAAATAAGCCAGATATAATGGTCATGTATTACATAATTTTATTTTTATGAAATGCCCCCAAATAGGAAAACCTACTTGAGACTGAAAGTAACTGAATGGTCTGAGGTAAGAGGGAAGTGACTACCAGTAGGCAAAGTGTTTCTTTTTGGGGGCAATTAAAATATTCTGGAATTAGATGATGATGACTGCACAACCACTGAATATACCAAAACCCACTGACTTTAAAGGGGGTGAATTATATTATCTAAAAAAACCCAAACCAGAACAAAACCAAACGCAAACCCATCCAGTGGCGAGGAAAGGAAAAACCCGATTAGGAAAATGAGGAGTGGGACCTGTCATTTCTTGAGGATGCTCTGGGGCAGAGGCTATGACTAACAGGAAGGTGGCCCCAGCTGAAGGCAGCAAGGGAAATGTAGTCTCTAAGGTGGAATTGTTGGACCCCACAGCTGCCATTTATGAAGCACAGTGAAAGCCAGATCATTGTGTCAGTATCGTTCAGCGTGTTATTTTAATACTAACAGTAATCCTGTAAGGCAGGCACTGTTTTCCCCCATTATATATATATCTAGGAGACATTCACTTGCCTAAGGTCCAGCTGGGATCTAAACCCAGGTCCTTCTGTTTCCAAATCCCTGGATTTTCCTAAAAATGTGATTCTCTGAGAAGAATCCACTATACTGGTATTGTGACAGATGGACAGAATGACTGCTGCCAGCGCTTTGCCTTGGTGCCTGAGCTGCAGTTGAGGGCTCTCTCCTAGAGGTGGGGTCAGGCATATTCCCACATATGGGAAGAGGCTGGAGGAGTATGAATAACCCCACAATTATCATGCTTTCTTCTCTAGAGACACTCCTGCAACGCCAACGGACGGCTTATGGCATATCACGCGCCCTCCTGGTCTGGGATACCTCTTTGTAGCGCTTGCTGTTCATCAGGAAGATGACCATGAGCAGCTGCAGGTAGGCTTCCACCTCAGGCAGGAGGGGTGTTGATGCAGCTTTTCCTGTGCGGGGACGGAACTGTAAGTCGGCTTCTGTGTCCATGGGCTAGGAGAGGACAGGAGTTACCAGGGGAAAGCTCAGATCAACCAATCGGACTCGACTAAGCATTCGCTATGTATTCCAACAAGTATCTGTTGAGTGTCTACTATGTGCAAAGGTTTTTTGAGGTGCTGGGGATACAAAATAAAGATAATACAATCTCCTTCCTAAGAAGTCAAGGAGGTTGGCAATACAATAAATATAATGAAGGCTCACAGGAAGACATTTTTACAGAATGTAATGGGGCCAGAAGGGCGATGTAAGGACTCCCTGGAGAGACTGCAATCCAAGCAGATCAAACCATCATACCTGGAACCACTGCAAATCCTATCAGACAGGATTTAACAAATGATATAATTCTAGAGATGAAATTGGAATGAGACAAAAAAAAATAATTTTTTTTTTTGGCAGTAACAAAGGAAATTTGGGGAAAATGGTGTAGTAATTACTTTCAGACCCAGCCACAGAAACTGTAATAATGTATAACAATTGGCTCAAAAAAAGCAATCATGTTGGATGAATTTAGAGACATAAAGGTTAAACAACATTCCAGGTGAGGCTGGGGAAGCGTACATTTTCCCCTTTCCTTAAACAATAAACTCATCCTTCTACTCAAAGGATTTTCTGGGTTTTCCTATCTGTGAATACACTATATGCATATAAGACTTCAGGGAGATGAAGGCAGTTGGAAGGGGCAGGACCTGGATTGTACCATGAATAAAGGGTACAGGGTATGGTCAGAAAGGAAAGGAAGGTCTCCTGGCATGGAGACCACTACGGAACTAACTTCACCAGCATTCACTATATGCCAGGCACTGTTTTTAAGAGCTTCATACATACTCTTCTCCTTGCCCCCAAATCTACTTATCACATTTACCAGATGAAAAGGAGGCCCAAAGATATGTCACTGTGGCCCAAATCCCACAGCTACCAACTGGTAGAGTATGGATTCAAACTCGACTCTAGCTCCAAACCCTGTGCTTTGTTTTTCCCCCCAAACCCTGTGCTCTTAACCACGGTTCTATACACTCTCCATGGTGAAGCTTCAGAGGCAGAGGTGGAGACACCATCAACTAGGACAACGGAGACCGCACCCAATGGGAGGAAGGGTCTGTGTTTGGTGACAGTGGAAAATGAGTTTGGCTGGAAGGGTCCTGTTTCCCAGTTCTTTTCTTGGACTCAGTAGAATGACACTATGTTTTCTCATTAGCGGGCAAACGAATACTAAAGTGGGCGGCTTTGCATCACCACGCTGTCACAGCAGGTCTTCAGGATGGGAAACAATCACACCTGGGAGATCTGAGGCCAAGCCCGCATCCTTCAAGTGGGCCTGACCCGCTCACCTCTTCCAGGAAGGGTAGCAAGAAGTCTCGAGTGGCATTATTTGAGGTGAAGAAGCCATGCACAGCCTTATACAGGACATAGTGGTTGAGGCGGCGAGATGTGGAAGGTAGCATCCGCAGGGCCCTCAGTACAAATCGAGGTTCTTTGCCTGAAACTGCCTTCTCCAGCTGTTTCACATGCTCCTTGATGTCTGGGGAAGGCCAGAGGAAACAAAAGTATGCTGTTTTCAAATTCTCCTATTCCAATATCAAGTAGTTCCAGGCAGCCTCTTACCAAGGGGCAAGATAAGGCTAATTATCTTACCTTTCTTGCCTTAAGCCATACATGCAGATTCCAAACATTGATTTAATATAAAACCAATAGGCAAAGAAAGAAAATGCTCAGAGGGAAGGGAGTGACAGAAATATGAAGGAAATAACCATAAGGAACAAACACACATGGAATTTATCAGATTTCTAAGTAGGAAAAGACTTAAAATGTGGATGGGAGAAATTACACACACAGAGGACTGATGAACATGACTTCATAAAAAAATCTTCTGAATAACCATGTAAACAAAAATATTTGCAACAGATATGATCAAGATTCATATTCTTTACAAAGAACTTGTGTAAGAGGTTAAGATCAAAATAAACATGAACAGACAAGACAGAGGCACAACAAATAGCTAATAAACATGAAAAATATATTTCACCTGTATTTGAAAAATCACAAATGAAAATATTTTTCAACTACTACATTAGTAACATTTAAAAAATGATAACAATGAGGGCCTCCCCGGTGGTGCAGCGGTTGAGCGCTGGGTTGCGAAGCTGCCCGCAGCCTCTGCAGCGCCGGTTCGATCCCCGGCTGCTCCCCGGCCACCGGAGGAGGGTCCCATATGGCGCACAGACCCCTCTGGCCGCCCGCTGCTCCCCTCAGCAGTGTACTTCGGTCCTTCTGCCTGCTCTGCTCCCCGCTCTGGCTCTGGTGAATTCTCTCGCCCTCCCGTGCTTCTGACTGTACCCAGTGCTTGTATTAATTAATTAATTAATTAAAAAAAATTAAAAAAAAAAAATGATAACAATGAACGGGTGCAAAGGACATTTCTGATGGCAAAATGTAAATCACTAGTTTCTTTTGCTGGATAACATCTACAAGAAACCTTAAATAGTCAACCAGGTATAGAGTTTATCCTGAGAAATAATTACAAAGGATGGCTAAAAACTTGGTACCAAGAAGACTGTTACAAACCTACTTGAAACGTAAGAACTGGAAACAACTAAAATGTCCAGGAATAAGAAAATGCAATCAATTGACACTTCCTTGGTCATGCTTATGATATATGAATAACAAGGGCTAATATTTACGGAGAATTTACAATGTATTTACCATGTGGGAAAGGCAGTTTCTAAATATTTTAATCTTCCTAACAACGCAACGAAGTAGGTATTACTAGCCTCATTTATAGAGACAAAGAAACTAGTTCCAGAGATTGTCCTCTTAAAACTACTGTATCAGTTATTCAATAAATGTTTCTGGGATAAATTGAACACTGACTATGTTTGTGGCTATGTTAAATGAAAATACACAAAATCACCTCTATTTAGTTAAATACTTAGTTGTTCCAAACATTTTTTTAAAAGATTTATTTATTTATGCATACAAGAACTGGGGTACAGGCCAGAAATGTGGGGGATGAGAGGATTCACTAGAGAAGAGAGTGGGGAACAGAACAGGCGGATCTACTGAAATACACTGCTGAGGGGAGCAGTGGGCAAGACAGGAGAGGTCTGCTGCGCCATTTGGGTTGCTCCCTGGCTGGGGATTGAATGAATGCTGCAGTGGCTGTGGATAGCTTCATAGTGTTGAGACTTAACCCCCTGAGCCACCAGGGAGGTCCCAGTTGTTCCAAACTTTATATTTAACTCAATCTAAATTATGGGAGAGCAACTTAGAAATTCACAGGAGAAAAATGTTAAGCATGGTTGAAGTTTTTCCTTGGCTACTTTAGCCTTCTCATATTTTCCAAAATTTCTATAGTGAACATGACTTATTTTTTAATAAAATGAAATGTTTATAAGAATCATGTGTATGTACCCAGTAGGTAAAGCTGAGCAGTACCTTTGCTACTAGCTGACGATCATTATTTTAGGTAAAAGAATCTTTATTGATACTGATCCTGTTGCCAGACGTTAGAGCCAGGAGTTGAAGTAGTCACCACCACCGCATCCTCAAAAGCAACACCCAGGAGTATAACTTTATCTCATTATTTTGGGCCTAGTTTCTCATGCAGTTTAGTAGAGATAGAGAGTAAATAATGAGGTCCCACTTGAGCCAGAACCAGGAAAACAGCACAGGGTCAACTGGGAAGCTCATTCCACTTGCTCCAAAGTGAACAAGATGTTCTAATTGGGAAAAGTGCATTAAAAACAAGGAGGAACAAGTGGATGGTAAGAAACTGGGAACAGGGTCTTAGGAGAAAAGAAATGGGGGCTTGGTATGCTGTTTAGGTGGCAGGTGAGTATTAGGAACTCAAAGATGACACCTAAAAAGTTCAAAGTTTAAGGGTGTTCAGCCCTTTAGAAACAGTAGGAGTAAGGGCCTGAAGAAAGAGGAAAAGAGCAATGAGATCATTTGGGCAACTCAATTAGAAATACAAGGAAGGAAGAAGCCAGGTAGAAATAGTTCCTTTAGGGAACAGTTGCTAAAGGTAGCTAAGACCACAGAAAACATTCCCATCCTTAAAACTCAGGGGCCAGTATTCTGAGTCATCCTGACCCCTTTTACACACACACACACACACACACACACAGGCTGGTTGATCAAGGGGTCAACCACATATTAGGGATGCAAGAATTAATCCAGTGGGATGCAAAAGTGGGTAAGCGGGGAAAACCTAACGCAAGGGGTCCACAGTCCAGTAGGATCTAGTTCTAGATGCACCCCCAAGTGGGTGGAGAACGCGTGTAAGGGAGAAGTCCTGAGCCTGGAGAAAAGTTTCAGTTATCGGGGATGGGGTCGGGCGTGTCAGGGCAGTGGAGGCGGGGACCTGGGGGTGATCCCAGGAACCGGGGATGGTGGAGACCACACTGGGGTCCCCAGGAGAGCCTGGGTCACCGGGGCGCTGTCACCCGCGATCACGGCGCGTCCCCGGCCCGGGCTCTCATACCCTCCAAGGTGACGGTGTCCAGCTCCCGCTGGGAGTGCTCGGCCGCCGCCGTCGCCGCCTTGCCGTCGGCCTCCCCGGCGGAGCCGCCACCCGCAGCCGCCTCCTCCTTCATCTCCACGTCCTGGGGGGCCGAGGGCGGCGGGGGGTCTTGTTCCCCACCGCCGGGCGGCGGCTTCGCCTTGTCCGCACCGCGGCGCCGCGCCGAGCCCTCCTGTTTCATGGCGCCGGGGTCGCGGCCTTGTCCGGAGGCCGAGGCCGGGGCCTCGCGTGAACCCTCACGCCAGAGACCGGGGGCCGAGACGGGCCTGCACACGAGCGCGGGCTCCTCGCGTCGGGCCGCACGATGACGGAGCAGCTGCAAACCCCTTCCCGGCGCTGGGCCTTCTGGGAAACCCCAGGCCCGACGGGCCGATGACCGAGTCAACAAAGGCGAAAGAAATCAACGGCAGAAGTGCAGGATGGAGGCGGATCTTGGAGACGCGACCGGGGAGGAGCCTGAATGGGTTTTGGCCTTTTTTTTGGAGCGCTTAAGTTGGTTGATTTTACGTTCCTTTCGAATGCACTTCCATTCATGTCCACTAGAGGCCTCCGCAGGCGCCAAACTGGGTTGCACAGGACTCTAGAACACGCCAACCCGCGAGGAGTGGAGAGGGCCTATCAGAGAGCAGGGCGTGATGACATCACGAGTTGCCAGGTGGGTTTCTGGAGCAAAACTCTCTGAGGTTGCTCCCGGCAGAGGGCGCCTTCCAGATCCGCGAGGCTGTCCTCAACCGCCGCCCGGTGCAGCGGGCACGAGGGAAAAAGAAGCTGCGAAGATGTGAAACTGGGCTGTTGGGCTTAAAATAAAGCCGAACTGGAGAGTAGGAAGAACCTTGTGAGATCCAGACTTCCTTTTGAGAAAGAAGTGGCTGAACATAGAGCAGCAGTGGCTGAACATAGAGCAGCAGTGGCTGAACATAGAGCAGCAGTGGCTGAACATAGAGCATGAAACCCCCAGCCCGGAGAATGCACTTATGCACACGCATTCCGGTTTCCTGAAATCTAGGGGTCCGTTCTCAGTACCACCCAGGGCTAGCTGTTTTTTGTCAGCAACAGCAACAACAAAACCAGCTAGAGAATGGAGTCCAGTGGAAGTTCTGATCCAAGGTGCCATATGCAGGAGGAAAGAAGGTGCAGTCTGCAGTCCTTATTGGTGGGGGTTTCGGGGAGTTCTTTGCCTTTGTGCATCCAGACCGATGCTGAGATGGGGAGCTGAATATCAGTGTCTCCGAGGACCAAAAAATCTTTCAGGGAAAGATAGTTAGACCATAAACCTTGTACACATATGTTTTAAAAGACCCGGTCAATGATTCTGCAGGGTAGATGAAATCAGGAGAAGGATGCAAGACCCGGTATCATAAGACACAAAACAGAAGCTCCTTCACCTCGTGGAACTTTTATCTCTTTCATAAATGTAAGTCTTGAGTTTTAGACTAGGTTTGATGCTACAAGCCATCTTGCCCTGTTGTAAGGTCCTAGAGGGCAGAGAATATGTTTTAACCCTATTCTGCTTTATATGTAGAGAGTATATCCTATGTATTCTTTGTATCCTCCTTCTCATACGATTGCAACAAATAGCTCGTTGCACTAAACAGCCACTAACTAGAAAAAATGTGTGCTACAGTTTTAGGGACCAGTTCCTCCCTAACTGTCTCCCTGCCCTCAGAGGTGGAGGCTGGCTAACAGGACTTTTGAATCACCAGAGGAATAAACTCATTAAGGTCTCTTCTTCCTAGCATCATATCTGGAAGTGAAGGTGGGTGGGAATGGTAGAGGCAGAAAACACAATACCTTCATTGTTCATCCTTATGCAGTAACCCATCTGGATAGTTAGGATGTTAGCTCACCTCTTTATTAAGTTTACATCACAAGGGAAAAATAATCACCCCCATCTGTCCTTGAGCAATATAGCAAAGACTTGGAAGGTGCCCCAGAATGGGGGAGGATGGCTTAACACAAAGCTTTTGGCAGATGATCATGAATTCTTTGGTGAGTGAGGGAACTAGCTTGGGCAGGGGGTGGATCAGAAGGGGAGAGACTGACTCCTGGGCCAAAAACCTTGGAGAAATGACTCCACCCATACAAGTATTTTTAAAAGAGGTTGATGAAAGACGTTAAAACCCGCCTTTAGGTAGAGAAGAATGGTATGAACCCAGCAGTTTTAGGAAATTGCAATGTCCATATTAGTAGTTCCATATGCCAAGCCACCCACACCGTTAAACTGAGGGCATAGTGGGCAAAGGGGAGATAAGGAGATGATATCACAGTTTGTTTTTCAGCTTTTGGGTCAGTCTTACTCTTGGGTACATATATTTTTAATTCTCCTGTCCTCCTAGGGGTCTTTTCCTGTTGCCCGGCCCTGCCATAGCTCCAGGAGACACTGTGATACTGCAGTGATCTTGATTGCTCAAGATATTATATGTATTGACATTGACTAATCCAGAAATGGGGGGAAATTGAGATGGATCAACTTAAGTTATCAATTTAAAAAAGCCACCACTTGCTTATGAAGACGCTGATAAACTCTAATAAACACAGTTGCCTTCAAAAGGCAAGGACAGATAAAACTTATCTGTGCTGAGAGACCTCACCTAAGTGAAAATTAGCAGGTGGTCCTGATAATATGCCTCTCAAGAGTGGTATAAATATAGATGCCAAATTAAGCCACTTTGATGTGCGTGGACACCATGACTGCGGTACTTAAGTCTTCCCCAGGTTTTGGAGAAAGCAGCTGGGACTTCTGCTCTGAGAAGTGGTCCTTCCCTTTCCGTCAACAGAAGGCTGCTTGCAACTCTGCAAAGCCCACCTACTCTGTGTCATCAGTCTCTGAACCTTGCAAAGAGGTCTGTATCCCTCCCCTCCTTTTAATGCAGCTGAATTATATGCTCATATGGCTGTAATGTAGACCCCCCCCATAAATTCCTATTGTGATTGTATGTATCTGACTTAAGTCTAAGTGAAACCTCTCTTCTTTGGTGGAAATGAGCACCTTTGTGGTTGGGACCTTATATAACAATTAGTAAATCCTCTGAGTCTTTTTTTTTTTTTTTTAAGATTTTATTAATTTTTGCGTAGAAGAACTGGGGCATAGGTCAGTGGTGCCGGGAGTGAGAGGATTCACCAGAGACAGCATGGTGAGCAGAACAGGCAGATCTATTGAAATACACCACTGAGGGGAGCAGCGGGCGAGATAGGAGAGATCTGCTGTGCCACATGGATCAGCTCCCGGGCTGAGACTGAACTCAGGTCCTCGTGGTGATAGTGCTGAGACTTAACCCCTAGGCCACCAGGGAGATGCCCCTCTGAGTCTGTCTTGAAGGTGCTTGGCAGTGACCTCCCTAGGATTCTCTGAGGTGACCTCCAGGACACCCTGCTCTGGCAGTGAGGTCAGTGAAGAAGCTTATACCCTTTCCCTAATTGCAGAAGCAACCATCCCTGGAAAAATAATAAAGATTGGGAGGAATTATCCATGTGTAGGATTGTTGGGGTTCAGATAATGGGGGTTCAGTGTGTGGGATTCCTGGGTTCCTCTGAGAAAGAAACTTAGCAGACATTCCTGTTCATCAGAACAAGGCAAGTTTATTAAGGAAAAGAGAAAAAGGTAAGAGACGCCCGCACAGACACAGGCAGGCAATGCACTGCTAGTTATATTTTTGGGAAAAGCCTACATTTTCTAGTCCCTAAACATTTAAGTTGTCTTATTCCTGTTTTGGGCTTGTGCCACATATTTCTAGGTCTTTGCTTTTGCCCAGGCTTCAACCCAAGTCTTTAGGACCCCAAAGGCTCCTCTCTGAAGGCAATCTGCTTTCATGATTTTCTTACTTTAGAATCTAGATTCCACATGCTATACCCTCAAAGTTCTTCTTTGAACATTTTCTGGTCTGAAGAACATAGAGCGTTTATATACATATAATCTATATGTAGTATGCCTTTCTTTTTTTCTGGAACAAATTAAGAATTTTCTTGTGGTAGATTCTTTAAAGAGCAACAACAAAGACATCTCATCCAAAAATAATATTTACCATTAATTCCAGTGAAGCTTGATTTTTGGAAGCAGAAGCAGGAGGGACTGGGAAACGAAATAAATTAATTTTTTTTTACTTGGTTTTGCAGAACTGCTTTTCATGTAGTTTTAAAAGCTTGAGTATTTCCACTCTTAGAGGAGTAAACATCAGCAGAGAAGGCTTATCTGGCTGTGGGGTTGTAGGAGCAGGGGGAGCTACAGGGTTGGACTGGGGAAGTGGGAATCTGGGGTGATCAGCTAGGGTTTCCATCCCTCACCCTGTTGGCTCTGAGGTGTTAATAACACAGAGGAGGAAGGGAGGGAAGGCTTGAGGGAAGCAGGAAGCAGATGCAAACAGTAAGTTAGGAGGCCTTGGTCAGTAGCTGCAGGAAGGAGAGGCCAGCATAGAGGGCACAGAGGTGGGGGAGGGTGTCTGGGTCCCACGTGTACTCAGGGCCTGATCTCTGTAACTCCAGGCCGCTCAGCCCCACAAGGGCCTCAGTCAGGGTCAGTTCTTCTTCTCCAAGGGAGGAGAGCAGCTGAGGCTGCAGGGAGAAAACCCCCTCTTTATCCCGTAGGAAATTCTGTTCCATGGTGGTCTCCACCTGGAAGGAACCAAAATAGCATGAGAAAAGAAAGAACTGGAAATCGCTCTTACTTTCTCTTTTGTGGTCTCTTACAAATCACAAAGAAGGCTGTATTTCTCATATTCTAACTCCTTTCACGACATTGCCTTACAATGCCGTGGGGGCTTTTTAACACAACCCTGTATAGTGGGTGGCATGTTTATTTATTTTTTATTTTTAAAAAATTATTATTTATGTATCTTTTTTGGGGCATGTTTATTTTTAACCCCATTCTACAGAGGAGTAAATTGAGGCTGACTCAGAGACACAAAGCGATTTGCTCGCATCACTGGCCTGGGAATAAGCAAAGTCAGTCTTGTGTCTCTTTTCCCAAGATCAGGTTAAAAACCCCAGGTAAATACCTAGAAAGCCACTCTCATCATTGGTCATGAGGCAGCAAAAAGGAAGAAAAGCTAAGAGAAACGAGATGTGACCCTGAGCTCCTGGAGGGGACAGGGTCTCTGGGGGACGGGACAGGTCTGTCATTGGGCCAGATCTGTATCTTTCCTCCCATTCTAGCTGACTCCCTCCCAAGCTCTCCCTGGCATCTGCTGTTTTTTTCTCACCAGCTTTAGCTGCATGGGTAGAATCTTTTTCTCCATGGATTTTACCAGCAGCTTCTGTTGGACTTCACTCAGCTCTGGAGAAAAAAGTAGAGAGAGAGATGTGCAAAGGGGATTACCACTTTCAAATGGGTGCACTTCCAGAATCACATCATGAATTAATTTATCCATTCACCCCGGTTGAATGCCTGCTCTGTGCTAGATACGTTTGCCGGGTGTTAGGAAATAGTCATATTCCCTTCACTGAAGGAACATGGAGTATGGTGAAAAAACAAAGTAATGTGCAATCACAGTGGAGAGTTAGGGGAGCCCAGAGCTGAGGGGTCTGCCTTGGTCTTAGAGTAGGGGGCCGGCTTCTTGGAATGAACATCTCAGCTGAACCCCTAAAGGACTGGGCGGTGGCAGGGTGAGGGGGATGTTTCATGCAAGAAGAGAATTCAGGGGCAAGGTCAGAATTGCTGAAATGAAAATTAACAGGTGTGGCTGTGTAACAGGGATAAGCTTAGCTAGATGCAGAAGTTTTCTTTTTCTTTTTTTTTTAATAATGCCTTTTTTTTTTAAAGATTTATTTTTATTTATTTATTTATACAAGCACTGGGTACAGTCAGAAGCGCGGGAGGGTGAGAGGATTCACCAGAGCCAGAGCGGGGAACAGAACAGACAGACTGATGAAATACACTGCTGAGGGGAGCAGCAGGTGGCAGGAGAGGTCTGCACGCCATGCGGGACCCTCCTCCGGTGGCCGGGGAGCAGCCTGGGATTGAACCGGCGATGCAGAAGCTGCGGGCAGCTTCGCAACCCAGTGCTCAACCGCTACGCCACCGGGGAGGCCCGGTGCAGAAGTTTTCAACTGTGACTGATAAAACTAGGGCTGTTTCTTCTTAGACAACAAGGTGACCAGGTAAATCTTTGGGGATGGAACCAGTTTCTAAAATGTGCACACAAGCTAGTCAACTGGGGCATTGTCTGCCTGGCATTCATTCATTCACTCATTCATTCATTTGGAAGTGAATTCAATGGTTCACTCCTACCACCACCAAGAAGTATCAATGAGAACTTTGCTCCCCACTTACCTGAGAGGGCTCCAAGGAAATAGAGGATGGCACCTGTAGTGTCCTTGGAGAGGAAGACATCTTTCGGGAGCGCTTCCAGGCTCACTTCATGTCCTTTGTCTAGAGCCCCTTCAAGCTGTGGGGAAAGGTGGGCAGGTAAGATGGCGCAGGTAAAGGGCCCAGCACTCGTCACCCCTTGAAATGTCTTGACGTTCCCATTTCCTCACTCCCTTTCTAGTCCTGTCCTGAAAAATACTGAACTCCTGGGTCCCTTGTTCCCTGAGCCTTGACTCTGCAAAGTTTCCAGCCTCTTTCCAGCAGAGGGTCCTCTGCCTGCTGCTTACGCTCTGTCCCCAGAGAAGCATGTGCTTTGGGGGGTCGGGCTTAGGGGAGGAGCAGTGGAGGGGCAGCAGCCTGGTAGCTTTGTAGGAGGCATGCAGAGTCCACTCCCCTGGCCACTGATGACGGTCTGGCAGTCAACCCTCCGGCCAGCTGCTGTGCCCACTGTGCGCACCCCACCAGGCCCTCCCTCCTCCCTCCTTCCATTGGGACGCACTGTATGTTCCAGGTCTTGTAACTCCTTTTTCTTCCCTAGAAGTTTGCTGAGGGAGCTGAGCAGGGAGCGTTTCCCTGTTTGGCTCAGCTTCTCCACTTCTTGGGTCTCTCTTTGAACCTCTTCTTTCAGTGTCTTGAAGTCCTCATGCACCTCCCCTGTGGGACAGGAAATGTGGCAGACACCACCCCCCCCCAAGCCGGCCTCCTTCCCACTTGGATTCAGTCAGATTCCCTCTGTGGGGCTCCTTTCTGGGGCCCTTCTCAGATCCCTGTGCTCTGCTCCCCTTGTGGGAGGCCAAGGAATGTGGTTATGAAGTTATCTGCCAGCCCTGACTTGGGGTATTGGTGGTGGTGAGTTTGTACGGAGGTGGTGAGCCAGGACCTGTATTAACATCTAAATAGGCTGTCTTTCTCCAGGAGATCCCAGGCCCCCTCCCGGATCAGGAGGTGATGGATTTCCCTTTTTCTAACACTCCAGCTACAAGCTGAGGATGAGCTGATGAGTTAGTTGATAAAGAGTGGCCTTGGCGACCTAGTGAAGGCACTGCTTCGGAGAGCAGTGAGTCCGTTATCCCGGATGTGGGTGGATGGGATCGCCTGACCCTTAACCTGACCCTCTAGGGGCCTGGCATCCTGGGAAGGCGTCCCAGCCTGCTTTGGAGGACCTGGGACTCAGCACTTGTCTTCCCGTCCCTTCACCCCAATGCATCTCCACTACCTTCAAGCCAACATCTTGGGGGAAACTCACAAAATTCCATACCAGCATCACATGCCTGGATAACTGAGGGGAAAAAGAAATCACAGTAAGAATGCCATCCCCCACAATGGCAGCCACACCCAGGGAAGACAACATCTGTCTTAAGGGTCCTCTTGCTCCATTCGTGGGAGGAAGGAATGGATCAGGGAGAAGCCAACGTGATGGAAGCCAGACATCTGGACTGAGTGGGCATCAAGGTGACGCAGAGGCTCCGCCCCACAGATGTGTAACAGGCCAGAATGACCAAGGGCCCCAAGCACAGAGGTTGGAGCTGTCGCCCACCCAAGCATCTTGTCCAAAGACTCTGCCCACCCACTGCCTTTTCCCTGGTATTGGAATTTCTGCCACAGTTCGGGGATAGTTGATGGCTGAGACCTGCTCTTGCCATTTCCCCCAGCAGTCCCGCAGAGAAGGAAGGAAAAGACTGGAGTTTTAAAATTCTGAGTCAAGAAAGTTGCAGTGACATGAAAGGAAACACTTACGGATGAACTTCTCCTCTTCTGGCTTTCCTGGAGACAGAAAAACACACACATGTCAGCATAAAACCTGTCTGTGCCTTTTTATCTAGCGCAGTTGTCAAGGCAGCTTTATCAGTGATCATTGTGAAAACACATGGAGATTAGGTTAGCTCATCCGCCCCCGCGATCTGGGAACACACGCTGTCTCCAGGCGCGTTCCTGCTCCCACCGTGCCTTCCCTGCTCCCTCTTTCTGCCTCTCTGCCTTTCTTGGGCAGAATGTCTATGCCTCTGTCTGTCTTTCCTAAAGTTGGGAGTTGATATTTTAGGAACTTGGGCAACAAAACCTCTTGGGGAGGGGGTAATAGTGTGTGCAGTTAGAGGGCGCAGGATTTTAGCAGAAAAGGTCAGGGCTAGGGCAGGAGATGTGGGGAGCCAGAGAACAATCTCACTTACCGCCTCCGGGAGGGAAGGTTTGCATGTTATCATTGTAGATGTGCGGAATATCTGTCAGGAGCAAGAGAGAGGGGGGAGCAGGAGGATTCTTAACAGCTGCCCTCACCTTTTTTGCTCTAGTGTCAAGTCCCTGGGCTCTGCTAAGGGCTAGGACCCTGCCCCCAAATGCCTTACCCAGCCCCTGCTCTGCCTCTATTGCTAGAAATCATTTTTTCTTCCCCTGTGAATCCATCTCGAGGATAACATGACTTTCTGTCTTGCATCCTTGAATCTGTTTCTGTGTCTACGACCCCCATTGGCCACAGACTTCCCCGGAGCAGAGACCCTGCTGGCTTATCATCTCTGTGTCTCCCTCCCCCAGTGCACACGGTGCCTGGCCACAGAGCTCTCGGCCCAGGAGTCCCTCCGCCCTCTCCAGAGCAGCCCCTGCAGCTGGACAACACGCAGCACGCATCTGCTCTCCTTCCCTGACGTTGCCTCCAGAGGGGACCAGGATGCCTTAGTTTTGGTGTGGGTAATTCTTGGCTTGAGGGGAGAATATGCGGTCTCTGCTCACCCCACTCATCTTTGCCTTTGACCATCAGCTGTCTCACTCGGAAGGCCAGGATGCAGCCCTTGGGGATGGTTATAGCCTCCTTGTGGTTTAAGGATCCCTAGGATTAGACAAGGAATATTTGTGAATCTGCAGCAATCCCAAAAATGAGATTTTGGGTTTGGGAGGTGGGGGGACCAGGCCTCAGTGCCTCTGGGGAGATAAGAAGTTGGGACCCTTCAGTGGTGTCTCGAGTCCAGGCTCCATGGAGTGAACTTCAAAGCCCTTTTGCTCATGTCCACTAATCATCCCTCTAAAGATCTGTATCTTACTTCCTGAGTCAGACACATGAAGGAACTGGGCAGACCTGCTCCATCAGCTGCTTGTGCATCTCTGTCCTACCTTAGAGCTCCCATCCAGGCCTTGGTCCCTTCTTCATTGCCATCTGTCCCGTGCACACCTCCTTCAGGAAGCCTTCCATGACTAACCCCTACTCCCAGTTACAACTCATCACTTGAATATTTATACAAAATAGATATAGGAATGTAGGGCATCACTGATTACATTAAATTTTCCAAGCCTGATTCTCTGGGCTTTAAGTCACCTGTTTATGAGACAAGAACTTTCTGAGGGCAAGGATGTCTCTCCCTTAAATTGGAAGCACCATGAGGAAAAACCCATGGCTCTGAGTTTCCCCTTCCTGATAGTTCCCTGCCACACCTGGGCACAGGGATGGGCCCACACTGGGCACCACTGACCAGAGGTTAGGGCCTATATCTCACCAGCTGAGGCCTGGATCTTGAAGGGTAGGGGGAAGGAATGGGTCCTTTTTGGTGTCCTGGGCACTGATGGTGCAAAGTTAATGCTGCCTCTGAATAGAGTGGGTGTGAGTGTGTGAGTGTGTGTGTATGTGTGTGCAGTGCCAAACCTGTAGCCCCAATGGGGCAAAGAACGGCAGGGAGAAGCACCCCTCTGCCTTGCCAGCTCTCTCCAGAGTGACCTCCTGGACCGTCTCCACCACTTCCATCACCACATACAGGTTCTCTCCTCTATTCCGCATCTCCTTCAGGAAGGGGTGCTCTTCCGTCAGCTTCCTGTGGCAGAAGAAGCCCAAGGGAATGGCTCAGAGCTCCTCCCCCGCCCCGGCGAGGACCTTCTGTCATTTCCAGAAGGAAGGCAAGGTGGTGTCAGGGGAGGGACGAGGGTGCCAAGTTCAACTGAGGTGGACACTGGTCTCCCGCTTACTGGTGGGGCAGCTTCTGAGTCCTCATTTCCTCATCTATAAAATGAGGATAATGACACCTACCTCCCAGGTTGTTGAGAGAGACACTGGGTAATCACCTGGCACAGTACCTGGCCCAAAACAGGGCCTCCTGGCTGCTGCCTTCTTGCTCTTCCTTCATTCTAGGCGGAGATTTCCCTCCCTCTCCTCCCTGTTCTCAGTCCTGCTCATCTCTGTGGGACCCTCTCTCTGTATCTCTCACCCTCTCGTGATTTACACCAGGCCTTTCTCCTGTTTGCCTGCATGCAGGAGCATGTCCTGCTACGCCCTGGAATTACTAATCTACTTCTTTCTTTTACTTCATTAGCATGTCTCTTGCAGGCTCTGCCCCTGCTCATTGTCTTGCCCCTTTCGAGTTCTTTATAATTTGGCTTCTATTTCCACTCCTCAATTGAAATTACATGGATCTCCCACCCACCAAATTTAAGACCTTTTCTCTCCCTCTGCAGCCTCAGACCCTGCCATCCAACCTCCCCAGTGCCATGCTGTCTGCTCCCGGCTTCCGATGGCACTGTGCTCCCCCCAGCCCCCTCCCGCTTCTGCTCCTGGTTTTCTGGCTTCTAAATCCTATCCATTCTGCCTGCATCTCATTTTCTCATTTCTTTGGCTTCCTAAAATGTTATGTTTTCTAAGATTCTGTTCTCTGAGCTCCCCGCAACAGTTTCTTCTCCTGATTCTGTAATTTTAATCTTGATGTTGCTGACCATCACCTATGTCTTCACCTGGGCTTTCTCTCCTGGGCGCCACACCCCGTTTCCAACTACCTGTTCAACACTCTCCGCTGATGTTCCACTGGAGCCACAAACTCAAAGCGTCCAAAAGGAACTCATGATCTTCCTTTCCAAATTTGCTTGCCGTCTCTGTCTTCCTATTTCTTACCACTTGGGTCATCCTTTTAAAAACTTATCATGTATCTTCTGTATTTAAATACATTTGTATATATTTAGAGTGCACCATATGGTGTTTTCATGCACACATACACAAAGAAATGACCACTATAGTCCAAGTACTGGACATATCCATCTCATCACATGGTTACCATGTTGTATGTGTAGTGAAATCAACCCTCTTAACTTTCCTATGTACAATAGAGATCATTGATAGTCATCTTGGTCTCTATCAAGGTCTCTATCAAGATCATCTTTTTTTTTTTTCTCAAAGATTTCATTTGCGGGCCTCCCTGGTGGTGCAGGGGTTAAAGTTTCAGCACTATCATGCTATCATCAGCCACTTTGACATGAGTTCGAACCCTGGCCGGGGAGCTGCCCACATGGTGCGGCAGACTTCTCCTGTTTTACCCTCTGCTCCCCTCAGCAGTGCATTTCAGTAGATCTGCCTGTTCTGCTTCCTACTCTGTTTCTGGTGAATCCTTTCACTCCCCCGCACTTCTGACCTATATACCCCAGTTCTTGTATGCATAAATAAAGAAAATAAATCTTTTTTAAAGATTTATTTATTTATTTGTATGCTTGTTTGTTTGTTTGTTTATACAAGCACTGGGTACAGTCAGAAGTGCGGGAGGGTGAGAGAATTCACCAGAGCCAGAGCGGGGAGCAGAGCAGGCAGAAGGACGAAAGTACACTGCTGAGGGGAGCAGCGGGCGGCAGGAGAGGTCTGCGCGCTGTGTGGAACCCTCCTCCAGTGGCTGGGGAGCAGCCGGGGATCGAACTGGAGCTTCAGAGGCTGCAGGTACCTTCGCAACCCAGCGCTCAACCGCTGCGCCACCGGGGAGACCCGAAAATAAATCTTTAAAAAAATTCATTTATTTTTTTTTGCCTGGAAGAACGGGGTCAGGAGGGTAGGTCAGAGGTGCAGAGGGTGAGAGGATTCACCAGAGACAGAGTGGGAAGCAGAACAGGTGGATCTATAGAAATACACTGTTGAGGGGAGCAGCGGGCGAGACAGGAGAGGTGCTGTGTCATGTGGGTCAGCTCCCTGCCCAGGGATTCGAACTCAGGCCTTTGTGTTGATAGTGCTGAGACTTTACCCCTAGGCCACCAAGGAGGCCCTATCACGATCATCGGTGACAAAGCCCTCGCCCTCACCCTGCAGTGAGCTGTGGTGTCTAGTCTGCCCTGTCTCCCCAGAAGCCTGTGTCCATTCCTCCTTGACTCTGCCTGATCTTCCTGGCTCAGCTTTCCCCTTGATGTCTCTGGTGGAGAGTAGAGAGGGTCTTGCCTGGTCTGCCTGCTTCAAGGCCCGCCCCTCATCCTCTACCTGAGACTCTTCCTGCACCTGGCAGATTAGTCACAACACGTAGCAGAGCACCTGTGTCCTCCATGACCTGCATCCCCCCCACGTCTCCCACTTGTTCCACTCCCACTTCTTTTGCTCCTGCCAAACAGACTATTTCAAGGTACTTGACAGGTTTTGAGGTTTCTTACCCACATGCCTTCATAATGCCCTTCTCCCAGCCTGCATGTCCAATTTCTACTCATCTTTCAAGACCTAGATCAGGCTTTCTCCGTGAAGTCTGTCCTCTCCCCAGCCAGAAGTCCCCCGACTCAGCCAACCCCTCACCCCCATGGACACATCTTACCTTTGATTACAGCTACCATTGTCCTGTAATCTCAGATCACAGGGTTCTCGGACAACATGCTTGAGGGCATCTCAGCACCTAGCAGGGTGCCGTGCACTCAGGGAGTCTATATAAAATGTTGCCTGGGTGACTTCCCCAGCACCTGGCCCTCCCCCTGCCTTGCAGTCCTCATCTCCTTCTTTCAACCACTACTTAAAAGCCTGCTCCCCGTCAAGCCAAACATCTGAGATCCCCAGCATCGCCATGGCATCTGCCACACCCCTGTGCAGCCGGGGCAGCCTTTCCGAGGGTAGCCTGGAGTGTGTAGGTGGCCAGGCGGGAGGCTTCGTTTATGGGAGCAGACGCTGTGGTCAAGCCACAGTAGGGAGCACTTAAGACCCCGTCCTTTTAGTATCTGTCATAGAGTCTTAGAGTGGGAAGGTACTCTAGAGATTTTCACCCAAACTTACCACTCTTTCAGGAAAGAAAACTGAGGTTCCCAAGAGGTGAAGTGATCACAGCAAGTAAATCTGCACATGCGGACGCTCAAGTGTAATCATGGGTGGGTGGTCTTGGATGGGAAGGTGGGAGGGTGACTAGGCAATGGCTTGGGTGCCCCCACTAGTCAGAAGGGTCTGCCAAAGCTTCCCTGTTGTGGGATGGCCTTCAGGGCTCTCAGGCACCAAAGCACGCTCTCCATGCACCCCCCACCTCGTCCCGTCAGGCCCCCAGTGGTGCCCGCTCTCACCTCTCCTGGTGCAAGCTCTCCAGGGCTTTGGGAGACACGCTGAGGGTCTGGACCTCCAGGGTGCTGCTCCGGGACATCCCTGCCGCCCCCGTCACCTTGACGGTCTTCGGCACATCCACCTCTCCCTCTACTCGGGCATCCAGCATATTTTTAAAGCTAAATTTGCCCACATCTGTTGGATCTGTAGGAGGGAGAAGGTGAGAAGGGTTGGGCTGAGCGCATCCCTCCCCCCCTACGAGTGAGCTCCTAAGGAGAACTTGGGGCTCCATGATACCCGATCACGTCTGGGTAGAGGGAGCTCTGTGTCCTCCTCATAGCGGGTGCCTGGCCCCCTCCCTCAGCACCGAGTCCTCGACTGAGGCTGACCTGAGGGTGTGCTGCCCGGCTCGAGCATGTCCAGGAGTGTGTAGTCCGTGCGGACATACCGGGCACCCCAGAAGAGCGTGCTCTTCCTCTTCCTCAGCACCAGGCAGAAGGGATGGAAGCGCTGGAAGTCGATGAGGCTGTCAAGGGGTGTCAGGTCCCCGCGAGGGTTTAGCTGTCTGGCCAGGGCCCGGGTGACATTTTCGAACAAGGTCATTGTGTCTGTGGTGGGGGCAGATGGAGAGTGGCAAGTTGAGAGACCAGGACCCAGGAAGGCACTTGCGGAGAGAGGTCACCCAGCTCTCCTGGGGGATCTCTCAGGGGGCTCTTTTTTTGGGGGTTGCTTAGAGATGCCGGATACTTGGACTCAGAGCTGAAGGGAGGCAGAGCCAAGGCAGCTTCACTTTACAACGGTGAGGAAACAAGGCTTCAGGAGCTGAAGCAGCTCCCTGCGGTCACAGGGCAGGCTGGAGGAGCCAGAACCTCCCTTTCTTCCCAAGGGCTGTTTCCTGGCCCCGCACTCATTTTCCACACACACTTGGAGTCCAGTTGTCTTTCCTTTCCCGTTGGAAGTACAGCTCCTCTCACACAGCTGCGCCCAGAAAAGAGCTGTGACCACCAGGGCCAGGGGTGCACGGGGCCAGGTGGCCGCCCACAAGGCCCAGGGGTGGGGAGGCGGTGCCTTCACCCAGCTGCCCTTTTATTTTGGGTCCCTGTGCTGTGCCTTGTACCTCCCTTGTGCCAATCCTGGCTCGTGGGTGAGTGGACCCTCTGCCCTCCATGAACTGACCAATAGATCCAGGCACTTCTGTCTGCTTTGCCTTTGCTTCCGCTGCTCAGAATGCCCCCTCCCCAGCTAAAGAAGCCACATTCATCCTTTAAGACTCAATTAGAGGGCCTCCCCTGGTGGCGCAGTGGTTGAGCGCTGGGCTGTGAAGCTGCCCACAGCCTCTGCGGTGCCGGTTCAATCCCCGGCCACTGGGGAGGGTCCCACATGACGCTCAGACCTCTCCTGTTGCGCCCACTGCTCCCCTCAGCAGTGTATTTCGTCACTCTGCCTGTTCTGTTCCCCGCTCTGGCTCTGGTGAATCCTCTCACCCTCCCGCGCTTCTGACTGTACCCAGTGCTTGTATAAATAAATAAATAAATAAATAAATCTTTAAAAAAAAAAAAGAAAAGACTCAATTAGAGTCACCTCCTCTGTGTCCACCTCCCTCACCCACTCAGACAGCTAAGGTCTCCACCCTGCGCTCCTGAAGCCCTTCATCAGTGCCTTCTGAAACACCTGCAAGGTCCCGCCATTAGGATCTGTTCACCTCTTCCCTGCCCGACTGTGACCTGCCAGAGGGCAGGACCTGGGTCTGAGTCATCTCTGGGGCATCAGTGCCGAGTGTGGAGCCGTAGACTCAGATCTTGGAAAATGTGTGTGGAGAGAATGAACGAGCAAAGGGCATGTGAGTGGATGAATGCGACCCTGAGAGACAGGCTGGGGAGAGAGAGCCTCCGACAAAGTGGGCCTGCGGGAGCCTGGGCTCAGTGGCTTTGTGTTCAAGTCTAGGTGCTCTGACTGGAAAAAGCTGGCACAGATGGATCATCCCTGTGGGCAAAAGAGGACACACCAGCTGACGTGGAACTGGCTCACCTACCTCCCCACCTCACAGAGGCAGGGACACAGCAGGCCTGTGCGCAGGTGCGTGGGCCTTTCTGCCATCCACAGGAGTCCAGTGCCCTTTTCTCACCCTTCATGCCCAGGAGGGACAGGATGGCACAGGACAAGCCCCGTGTCCAGAAAGCACCTGGGAAGGGCTCGGGTAACTGAAGTCTCCTCCCAGGCAGGCTCCCAGGCCATTTCTCCCTTCCCTCCCAAGGCCTGTCTGGATACCTGCCCTGCTGAACCCAGGGCCCCTCAGGCCCTTCTGGTCCCACCCACCTCCTCTTTATCCCTGAGACACCTCCTGCCTCCTTGGCTCTCATCACGTTCTTACCAGGGAGCAGCACCAGGTCCCGTCCAGCAGCTGGGTCTGCAGTGAGGGCCCAGGTCTCGCTCGGTCTGCAGGATGACCAGCACAGGCTGATGCTTTATGCTTCTAGGGAGGCAGGGATGTAGGCTTCCAGGGCCCCCGCCCGCCCCAGTCACCCCTCCCCTCCTGCTCCACTTCCGGGAGAACAGCATCAACCTGTTCCATGTGTGCCCTGCCCCAGGCCTTGGGCCCTGACCTGCTAAGGGCTGAGGGGGTGGGTGGGGAGCTGCCAGGCAGGTGCCAGCGTGGGTGGGGGAGCTGGGCCCAGACACAGGTGGCAAATGAATGTTGACTGGATGAGAGGAAAGGAAGGAGGGCATCTTTGGTAGATGGGCTGCAGAGGCAGTAGGTGTTGGGGTGTGTGGGGTGTGTGTGGGATGAGGGAAGCCATCTCTGTTCTGACGTCACCATGGTCATGAGGAAGCATCTAGGATTTGTGATGAGGCCTCGAGGTGTGATAAGGGGATAAGAAATCCTATGTGTCTTCAGATTCCAGCAGAGAGCAGAGCAGCTGAGGAGTTGTCCTCCATCTTCCTGCTTGTCAGCCAGCACACGACAACCTCGCGCCATTTGTTTTAGCTGCATGGATGTATCCACGGCCCTGCTAGACGCATATGTCTGTGTAGGCAGGAGAAGGAGATAGGCCAAATGGATTCTGTTGTTTCCTGTTCAGCGTCTCTGTGCCTCATGGAATTTGTGGTGTGTGCGCTCACACACACACACACACACACATATAGACAGAGACACACACACAGATACACACACATATACACACAGACATAGAGGTATACACAGATACACACAGATGCACACATAAACACAGACACACACAGAGGCAGAGGCTTAGTGAAATCTGTGGAAAGTCCTCAAGTATGTGTCTGTGATGGGAGTTCAGACATCTCACTGTAGGTCACTTATGCACTGGCCATGTCTGAAGTCCTTGCCTGGAAGGAACTTTAAAGAGGACTTTACACAGGACTGTAGATGACAAGACGAGACAGTCACGAGTAAGGTTCCCGGAGATGGGGAGATGGTCTGTGTGTGCAGCCAGAACACAGCCACGCCTTCCAGTTCTCGCCTCAAGACTCTCCTCGCTATCTCACCAAAAACAAAACATGTTCGAAAGCCATGAAGAGTAATTTTGATCTTAACTGGAAGTTTTCTTGAGGGGCCAGTGGTGAGTGGGGGGGGGAAACTGGACCACCACACCACACTCAGCAAAACTCTAAATTTGAATAGTTCACTTCTGGGTCCAAAGTCTCATCCAGTACGGCAGCTGCTCCTATATCTCGCTTCTGTATCTTTTAAAAAAACTGGACTTTGCCCATCTGGGTCTTTGCTCCCTGCCCCACCCTTTGGCTTGCCTCCCTCCAGGTGCACCCCCGCCTCCAGGATAACCATCCTCTCTGTCACACTCCCATATCCCCATCATTAGGGATCCTCATTAGGGATACATCACAGATCCCCTTTAGGGCCCAGAGGTTCCTTCTCAGAGTCGTGGTTTACATTTAAGGGGATTGGGAAGGATTTAAATCATGCTGGAAGAGATGTAAGACTAATACATAAGTACACCTCAGGTCAATCAAAAGTAACTTAATCAAACAGGAGGCTGAGGTTTGTGGTGCTGATGTGAGTGGCTGGCTTTGCTCTCTATCTCCCTCTGCTGGCCAATCAAGGGAGTTAGTGAGTGGTAATCACTGCTGGTGTGAGGATCAAACTTGTGATGTGTGTGGGTGGTTCATAGAAGATGGGGATTAAGAAAGAGAATTGACTTAGAGGAGAGAGTCCTGGGCACCCGATCTCTGGGAACCAGAATTTCTCTCTGGTTCACAGAGTGAACTTCAGACAACGCAGGCAGACAGACATTGTCAGCGTCAAACTCCAAGTTGTCAACCCTTACTGTCAGCCCTCTGCTGCCAACCCCCAGGCCCAGCAGGCTGATTTGGGCAAGGAGCTCAGCACCATCCCTCGGTATAAACCAAAGAAGCCTCCATTGTCACCTGATCCTCTCAGGATCTCAACTCTTTCTGAACCTAGTATTATGCAGCTGGGGTGGGTAGTCGAGCTTCTGTCCACTTCATGGTTGATGAAAGACAACCAAGTGTCCCTCCAACCACGTGATTGCTGGTCCTGCTGATGGAAAAGAGCCCCCAGATCAATGCTAAAGAGACTAGAGCTTGAGATTTTGAAAGTCAGCTTCCAAGAGAAGCATGGATAGGCAGTGCCTCTCCATTACACCACACCATTTCACCAGGTCCACACCATGCCCCTCTCTGCTCCCCCCAGCTCTGGTTAGGGAAAGCTGGGTGTTGTTGGCCAGCACCTTAAAGGTGGATTAGGTGATAGAAAGGGCACACGGTGCTGCCAAGGCCTTCCTTAGGATCCCAGGTACAGAGAGGTCTATCCCTTGCATGTCCAGGTCACAGAGTCCCACCAGGACCTCGCTCAGCTTCAGCTCCTCAGGTTTGGACCCTGATTTACTCTGCTAGTAGCCTGGCACCAGAGCCAGCTGCAAGGGCATGCAAGCTGGTGAGTGGCATGTTTTAATTTTTACTGCTGCCATCTTAAATGATAATTCTTAGTTTTTTAACAAGGAGTCCTACATTTTCATTTATTTTTTATTGTATTATCTTTACTGACATAACAGTGGTTTACAACAATATATATAATTTGGGATTACATGTTTCACACCTCTTCAGATGTATGTTTCAACACCATGTCCACCACCAAAGACCCATAAACCTCTGCCATATTCTATATCCTCCTTACTCTCCTCCCCCCAGCTTCCTTCTCTGGTAGCTTCAGTTCTTTTTTTTTTTTTTAAATAAATTTTATTTTTATATTCCCCATACAATTGCAACCCCCTTATTTTGACCCCAATCCCTCCCCTCCCCGCCCCCCACTGCCCATAGAGTGTCTCTGGTTCATAGTTTTTTGTTGATTTTGATTTTCACTTTCTTATAGTTATTCATTTTCCTGGTCCCTTATTTAAGTTTTCTAGATTCCTGCTATGAGTGAGACCATCCGGTATTTTTCTTTTTCTTTCTGGCTTATTTCGCTGAGCATGATCCCTTCCAGCGCCATCCATGTTGCTGCAAATTGCATGTGTTTATCTTTTTTGATGGCAGTTTCAGTTCTATAGTCAGATTTCTAGAGTTTGTTTTGGCTTAGTTTTTTTGTTCCTTTGTTTTTTCTATATTCCACATATGAGTGAAATCATCCAGTATTTGTCCTTCTCCCTCTGACTTATTTTGCTTAGCAACCCCCCTCTAGCTTCATCCATGTTGTCACAAATGGCAAGATTTAATCTTTTTAAATAGCTGAGTAGTATTCCACTGTGTATATATAACACACCTTCTTTATTCACTCACTTGTTCATGCGCACTTAGGTTGTTTCCATAACTTGGCTATTGTAAATAGTGCTACATGAACATAGAAATGAACATAGTCCTTCAAATTAGTATTTTTGCATCTTTTGGGTAGATAAGCTAGGAGTGGGATTGCTGGATTGTAGATTATTTTAATTTATTATTTATTTTTGGTAGATCTGTTTCTAAATTTTTGAGAAACCTCCATGCTGTTATCCATAGTGGCTGGGCCACTCTACATTACCACCAACAGTGTATGATGGTTCCTTTTCCCCCCTTTTTTGATATTCGCTATTCTTACAGGAGTGAGGTGGTACCTTGTGGTTTTTATTTGCATTTCCCTGTTGACAACAGATGATGAGTATTTTTTCATGTGTCTGGTTTTTTTTTTTTAAATGTGACTGTAAGGGATTGCTTTCTTGATTTCTCTTCTAGTTTGATGTTTAGAGCCCTACCTTTTCATTTTATACGGGCCCATGAATTATATTGCAGGGCCTGCAATACCATGGGGGCCTAACCAGGTTGGCCTGACTGACCCCATCCCCATTCCCTAGCCTTATCATGTTGATCTCCAGCAGGTAGAGGATGAACCCAGACAGTATGGGAGATGCGTACAGTCTCCTGTGGTCATTCAGAACTGAGTCCCCATCCCCGCCCCTCAGGCTCCCAAAAGTTAGAGCTGGTTCAATAAGATCCAGGGCGCCATCCTCCAGGCAGAGAAATGCTTAGTGATCAGATGGAAATCCTTGCAGGCAGAGACAGGAAACTCCCCAGGAGGGGGGACAGGTTTACCCGCTCAGAGTGGGGATTTCCTCACCGCAAGGGCCGAGTCACTGTCCCAAGGTGGATGCGGCCGCTTTCGCCCCCTGGAGAAGAAGATCGTTTATGCCCCATCCAGACCCCCCTGGGCGGCAGTCGCCCGCAGCCACGCCCCGGCAGGCTCCTGAGCCCCACCTCGCTCTCGTATTCCGTCCGTCATCGCCCAGCCCCGCCCCCCGCGCCAAAACCGCCCCGGACCCGCCCCCAGCGCTCCCAGTCACGCTTTCGGCATTTCAGCCCCGCCCCCGACTTCCGCCTCCGGGGATCCAGCCCCGCCCCAAGCCTTCTCAAGCCCCGCCCCAAACCTCCCAATCGCCCGGCTGCTGGAAATCCCGCCCATCCGCATAGGCCACGCCCATCCACATAGGCCCCGCCCACTCGTCTCGGCCCCGCCCCTGGCGCCCCCGCCCCTCCTCCCCTGTCCTCCCGCGCCTGCAGCGTCCTCGCCTGCGCTAGCCGCGCGGGTTCTTTACTCCGGCTGGCGGTCGCCTGAAACCCGGTCAGGCCCTTCAGCGTCAGCAGCTCCTCTTCCACCTCAACCTGCGGCACCTGAAAGCGTGTGTGGGGCGCCGGCTCAGGTCCGGACTAAACTTTGGGTAAAATTGACTGAGCTGCAGGAGAGTGGTGACCAGGACTCTACCCCTTTCCATCCGCCTTGACATGACCTCACCCAGCGGGTCCCCCATCCCAGGCACAGGGGCTGTGGCTTGGTGTCTGGGAATTGGCATCCTGGGCCCTCCCTCAGGCACCCCTCCTCAGGGGACGAGGATAGGGCAGGATCTGGTGAGGGGTGTTAGGGGAACTCAAGTCCTTAAGGCTGTTTTCCAGCAGACATTCACCTCTCTG